TAATTCAGAAATTGGGTTATCATTGAAAATAAGCTATATGTATATACAAAATACCTAAATGTACAGCTAAACTACAGTCTATAATTTTAGAAAAAACAATACGAAATTTTAATATAATTGTTTGCATTTCAAATAGACATTATTAATCTGGTACAATGAAATTAAAGTTTATATTATCAAAACAAGTTTTGCACTCTATTGTTACGATCATTATTACTAGTAAATGAAAACCGAAAGTGTAGTAACATATTCCTTCATTAATAAACTGAAGTAACCTTTTGTTTTTCGTTTTATAAGGGGAATGTTAAAGTTGGCCTAAAGACATTTTTTGTAATTCTCATTTGTTATCAGAGTTCATTACCAGATGTATGGGATATGTCGATTGATTCTCAACCTTGCATGATTCAAGCAATAATATCATTAACACTGGAAACAATGCCACGCTGGCGTCAAGTACTACTAGGGGGTGTTGAAAATGGAGACGAAAGTACTAATCGCATAGTGGCTGGCTTAACATGCCCTAGTTCCTCTGCTCCTGGCGGTCCAACATCCACTAATGAAATGGTTATGATTGGACTAAGTGGTGGAAGTTTGATTTCTTCAAATTTATCTGGAAATCTCATGAATACTACAAATGCAGTTCAAGTGGGTGGAAGTACAACAGGACAAACAAGTTTCAGTGATTTTGGAACAAGCCCAATAGTAAGTTTTACAAAGAGTTTGATAATTTCATAGGCTGATAAATTTACGTTATAGTGAACGAGAATACAGGCGAGGACAGCCAAATATACCCTAACACAGAATTACAGAGTCTCTTATTAAAATCTAAGAATCGTATAGTAAATACTTCATTTGCAAAAAGTCAGCCAACATTGTCAAACTTCATTGTTCCTTCGTTTATATGCCAATCACTCTCTGTTCTCGTTATCTTCTCCTCAATCTTCTTAACCTTCTGCTGTCAGACATTTCACTTTCGACCGGTGTACACTACTTATATCTGTTGACATCAGTAGCACAGACTACAATGACTATATAGTTATAAATATAGTCTAAAAGTTTTAGTATTATGTCAAATCGAGTATTGTCATTTTTTCAATAAATGTAGGCGAATTGACTAATATGTATGCATGTTTAATCCAGACCGGAACAACAACTCGTAATCAAACAATTTCTGGTAGTTGCGTTGGTAATAGTGGAATCGCTGGTATTAACGATTTCGCAAATAACACTGGAACAGAACCTGGATCAATTACATTGCTTGGTCGTTATCGTGATGAAGATCATAGAGTTTTGGCCATATACGGTGCTTTCTTAGTAGGTGAAAAATGTCGACCACGTGAACGAATTAATCTTGTAAGTTTACTTGGAATATTTACACAAACAATCTATAAATTTAAATGTTTTGATAAAAAGTTACTTTGTTTTCTCACTATATATTTATTAATAAGTCAACAGCTTCAGCTAATTTTTTTTCGTGAAACTATATAATAAACAATTCAATGAACGACAAAATAAAGGTATGCAGTACATACAGATTGATTGCATTTCAACTGTTAACTTGTTTTGAGCCGGTTACACGCCCTTATCTTATCTTTATGATATATTTGAATGGATTTGTCTGAATCTATAGTATTCCAGTAAAGTAAAAGACTCATTTAAGGATTAGATTGTATGGGGATATACCTTCTGATCAGCAAAATCTACAGGAAATTAAAAAACTATTATTTTATATAATTTCTCTCATCGATAAATTTTAACAAAGCAAGAGTGTTAAACGTAACAAAATAAGAGGAACGCATTTATTTCGTATACTCTCCTCAGTTGCTCACTACCCAGAAACAATTTAACGTTTATTTAGAATCACTGTACATACTTGATATCATACTGATAAATAGTAGTAAATAAGTAATAAGTGTGGAAGAATTATAAAAGTATTCTGGCATTTAATTATTTATGTATGAACAAATATGAAAAGTCTAGAAATGAGTCATAAAACACAAGAAGATAAGTTAATAGAAAGTGAAAATCGATGCCAAAAGTTATGTAAAAACAATTATATAATCGAACAGATTAATCGACTAGAATGTGTAGTTTAAAAGATGGCGCATGAACGAAAATGTGTTCATAATTCAAAGTAAGAGATAAGATTTTCAATTAAAAATGGGAGACTGCATTATTTTTAGAAGTAAATACGTTCAATCTCAACTTTTCATTATCATTAGCTTCATCAAAAAACAATAAATTCGGAATTATTTGCTAACTTCATGTTCACTATTAAGTAGATGACGAAGAATTTTGAGGAATTGGGTTAACTTATCTATATGAACTGGTAATATCATGATTTTTGGACCTAGTAAAAGATCAATCTTATTCATGTTTCATTAATTCTGTATACTTTTTGACTTATCGTTTAGGAATTACTTACAAGAATCACAGCTGGTATTTTTAACTGGTTTATGGATACCATCTATACAGCAGAAGGTTTGTTTGTACTATATATATATATATATATATATATATATATATCAGTTTGTCTAAATGTTAGTTCAGAGTTAATGTTGTCAATTTGTCGTAAAATTCGCATCCTAGATATTTCGGAACAGCTTTACAAATAAATTCAACTTGTTACCGGAAGAGGTGTCATTTGAGTTTTGAATTCATTATTCAAATGATTGTTTCTGTTTCATGTCAAGACAATAGACGTTAAATATTAGTTTTATGTAAGGTTCTTTGTTGAAGTAATAATATTTCATTCAAAAATGACGTAGTTTCGTTTTCGGCCATCTTAGATGCGATTGGTAAATAACAATCTGGAAATTGTTAACTTGTTGTTTGTTGCGACCATTAAGCATAGATATTTGCATGTACTTTTATATCCACAAGTACCTACTAACATCAGTTGATGCACGATTTTATTTCCTTCACTTACATTCGTAAATAAATTGATATAACGACAGTATTTCACTAATCCTGCGACCCTAAGAAAATCGCATAGGTTAGATGCTATTTATTGACCAATGAGCACACAGATGACTGCAATTATCATCTATGTAATGTAAAAATGAGTATGGCGTTTTTCTATTGTTCATGAAAATTTCAGTGTTTGTAATCAATTTTCGCATCATAAAATGAGAAAATTTATCTTGCAGAAACTCGTTCATCTGGATTCAGAGATGCTCGTTTCTGTCTCTTTTTTAAAGTGATAATTTATTTGATAAATAATTCTCTTGGATGAGAATTTATCCATGGTCAATAAAATGATATTAAGGCATAACAATTTAAGGCCGTTTTGTGTAGCAAACATGACTTATTAAGATAAATGTACCATACACTTCCACATTAACTATTCAGTAAATAGATTCCTGTCAGATCTCTATAAAAGTGATTATAATTGAAATCTCCCGACTGGCCCACGATACTTACATACTAAGGAAATAATTTATTTCTAAAATTACTCATTAGGTAAATAACTGTTATTATTATTTTGTAAACATTTAGTTTCTTTTGATAGTATAATAATGATTAACTAATGTACTTTCACACATGCCAGGACTTTATAACTAAATATTAATACATGTAAGCTAGATAACTTGTGCCTTAGTCAGTATAATTAATGAACAGTTATTAAGTTTATAAAAGAAATCACTTGTAACAGTGCATATCAAATGATAAATAATTTGTTGCTTTATTAGCAAATATATTTCCTAGACTCATGACGGATATCAGCTATTTTTAGTTAATTGAAAAAAGTATTTGTGCACATATTTTGCACTCATAAATAATAAATTGTATGATGTTTCAAACGTGAACATGTTAATTTTACTCATAACACATGGTACCCTGATAAACATTTTACGGACGAAAAATTGCTCAATTAGTGTAAAATATAAATCGCACGTACCATATCATAACATTTTGATTTGTACGATCTGAAACTGATGTATAATAACGCTGTTATTTCATTTTGTTTTATTTAGTCATTTAATTAAACTACTAACTATGAATTAAGTAGCTAAAAAATGTCACTAACAGTAAATTCCTTATACTTTTTGGTTATGTTTTATAATTTATCTCATGCACTTTTTTTAAGCAAATCATTCCGTTAGTTATTACAAAAATAAACAAATAAACTTGATTGTTTATTGATTTTAGCAAGTATCACATTCGACGGTCGAGGAAATTTGAGACGACGATGTAAATACATTCACGTATATTTTATAATAATGTATATTTATAAAACATATACTCCTGCTCTATTATTGCTTATTCACATAAAATATATTTACATATATTTATGCACAGCCACATATCCCCTTGTTCGTTATAATGATTCTATGATCAAATTTGCTTGGTCTTTTGTAACGTATCACAATAGCACTGCTTTTAATGTTTACCCGAACGCACCAGTTATGCTTTGAATTCACTCCCTATTATGTTTGCTTTAAATGTATATCTATTAACTATTGTTTATGAATGCATGATTAAATAATTAAACCTGAACAATTCCTACTAGCAACTTAATGTTTGGCAATTAAATGCTTTGAACAATAGAGCACCATTTCAATACCTATTACAGTTTTCATTCAGATAATGTATTGAGAAGACGAAATATTTCGGAACTTTGTAATTAATTTCTCGATACATGTCAAACAATTTCAATAAACACAGAGTTGCTAAAGTATGCTTGTGAACATAAAATCGTCAGCTGAGGTAAATTTGGATAATTAGAAAACAACGTAGAACACATCAGTTTAAGTATAAAACAAAATCAGCATTATTAGGGCAAGTTTAATGTAGGTACAACTGACCCGTTTTAACTGTACTTTGTTATAGAATTGACCACAACCTATCTTTTGTAGTGTTTAATGAAATTAGTCCAGAGTGACTACTTAGACTGATTGAAAATTAGCCACTGAAGAATTCAGAAATAACGTTGTGTTCTAGAGCATTTTGTACTTAAAGTAAATCTATCTTAGTCATATCGACCTCAGTTTTGAGTTAGGGTTGATGTGCTATGGTAAAAGTAAAACATAAGGGCGAGCTTGAAACAATCTCAGGAACTCTTAGCCACTTGTTGATTACTCAGAAAATAGCTATTCTAATAAGTAGTTTATGGAAAATAAAGATAAATACTACAAACGGTAAGTTGATTTTACATAATTAATTTATTGATATTTTCGAGAGGTTGTTCTGTTTGTAAATAGAAAAAACGTCTTATATATTCTTCTCTATTGGTATTGATTATCCCTCTTCTCAAACTCTTATAAGGATATAAACATTTCCTTAGAAGTCTCTCCTGATTGAGCTTAGGATTAAAGATTTAGAGTTACAACTTTGAGAGTTTGAGTTAAGTATTAAGATTAAAAGCCTAATGTTAGAATTTAAAGATATGGTTGGTTTATATATCATTGACAAGCTATGTAAAAAGAACTGAATTTTTCATGCACTCAACCGTCATACTTACTCCTCGATAGCACAAAGTCATTTTTAATTATCATTTCAAATGCTCTGATGAGTGTACAAATGTGCTTCTACAGATAATTTTTAAAGTGATATTCAACGCAGAAACCTAAAAGTTGTTTTTTTTTCTATTCCAATTAATTAATCCCTTTACTTTGGAAGTGATATATTTTTTTCTTAGTGTTATTATATTTCAAATTTATTCCAATTTCACTTTGATTGTTTCTTGCGTAAAAATACGTGAAAAAGTTAATGTTATTAAACTGTAAGAAATTTATTACTCTAATATGTATGTATCACATCACTTATGGTAAATTTAATCTCATTTTACCATCTTAATTTATCTCAATGGAAGCTAATTGTTTAAGAGTGGTTTGTGATGCTTAGTGAATTGTTTCATCAAACTTACTAGAAGAAAAGGTTTACTCACAGCAAAGTTGAATGAACATTTCATGCGAATAGTTTCTATGTCTCTTCTATATTTAGATAAAAAGGTAAATTTAATTGTATTTCTCGCTGCACGAATTTGTTATGAGGCACATTTTGTGAGAGACTTACGGATTGAAAATACTCATCCACAGAAACTTATGTAGAGATGTATTAAGCCGAAATCTCACAAAAGTGTATTGGCCTCTCTGCTATGTAAGACACTGTATGAACGTTAAATTCATAAGTAAACTAACTACACACATTTTAAAGAAAATTTCAAACCTATTTAGAAAGACTTTCTGTGATAAGTGTTAAGATTTATGTTGTGAGGCCGAGATGTGTTCACCGTAACCTGAAACACAAGTTCTAAATTTGACAACCTTGATTGTGCTTATTAGTTTATTTGTTTCTAGTATCCAAATATTAAAGCCATCCATAATATACGAAAGGTCAAGGATGGTTTAAAAGAGACAGCAATGTATACCATAAGTTCTAAGAATTGAACACATCGACAACATTGGTCACTCATTTACGGTGGACCTATAACTGTAGTTTACAAAGTGAAAAGGTACCTGCATTACGTATATCGATAAAACTATTGTCATATAAATATACAATCTCAGATTGTATACCAAAAGGAATTCTACTGATTTCTTCTCCTGACATCTACATCTCACTAGACATACTAATCCCAACACATTTCATTGTCATATTTATTTAATAATGTTACATTATTTGTTTCTAAATACCTGTTTTTACTTTGGTTTATTTTCTATGACATATGTGATTGATCATAAGTAGTTTTTGGTTATTCAGTATCGGAACAGTTCATAGTACCTTTATTCCCATATTATTCATTGTGTTTCAGTTAACTATTCTGATAAGGTGCAGATATGCACTGCTTCAATAAGGTAATTCTTTTCGACTCAACTGAACATCAATATTATTAATAAGAGTAATAGTGTTGTTATTGTTAGTGATAAATATAGTATAAACATTCTAAACTTTTAATTAATTGAGATTTTCATATTAACTTGAGTGTTTTTACTTCATAACATACAAACTAAATTAATGCTTATAAATATATCTATAACAATTCCCTTCCTGTTTATCTATGACTGCATTGATACGTTGTATAGCCTTATTCTTGTTATTCACTAAAATTGATAGTGCGTTTTTTGCATGCACATTTTCTATTTTTTGCAAGAAATAATTTATTTGTAATACACAATGAAGAATCACTACATGTTTCAGTTTAAGGAAATGTTTGAATTCATGTATTTGAATTAAGCAAACAGTCACAAGTGTAGAACGAAACAAATTCTGTTTTCATTGGACTTATTTTCAATGCATTTGTGATAAAGGTATTTGCTAATAGTTAAATGTGTTATATTTAAAATAGATTCTGACTTAAAAAATTATTATTGCAATCTCTGAAATAACAAAATAAAATCGTTCTGTTTACGTCAGAATATGTATACTGATTTTTAAATGCTTGTTTATAGTTTACTTTATAAATGGTTTTTCCACTTTGTAACGATGCATTCTAAACTTCTTATATCTGTATAATAATTTTTTAAGTCCTTAACTTTCATTGTACAGATTTTCTGTCTTTTCTATTCAGATGAGTTGGGTGATTTGTTGGAACGAATTAAAAGTGAAGTAAGTGATATAGTCTATTATGTTTTAATTTCTTGAACTTCCACGTTATATTTCGAGTTCCATGGTGAATGTCAACACCAGTGTGGAAACACATCCAGCTGAAGAGTTCTAAATAACATAAATCACTCGTCCTGATTCCCTAGAAGTCGTACACTAATCTACAGATATTTAATATAAATGTCAATTATTATTAATTATTCCTATAATTGTCATTTTTTATTGCATGAAAATGGATTTTTTAAAATCTCATCCATCTTAATATTTATGGTAATATTCGTAAAATCTATGAAATGTTGTCTATATGCTTTATAACTAACTTCCATTGCTTATGACATACATATAAATATGAAGAGATTTTTCAGGTTCGTGTAATACTGAATGGATTTATTGAGTAAACATATCTGTACATAAACTTTAGAATGACTAGTCTCGTAAATTGTACGTGTATTTTACTCTAATCAGTTTTTCTATCTGTGTAATTTTATACAGTGTATCATTGATTATTCAATAAATCCAGTGTTATCATATCTTGCTATATCTTTCGTCGAACAAACAGCATATACCATGTTAAAACGAATATACATGTTAATGAAATGTCCCAATTTACAATACTTTAAAGTTTTGGTTATCAGCCAGTATATACAAAATTACGTCAATGTCCCGCACGTATAATGTCTTAGTAACTAATACTGTTTCATCTATTTCAACACCGTACTTCTGTTATTGTTCAAATACACTACTCTAAGGATAACATATTTGTAAGCCATCACTTTCAGTTTTGTAACACTTGCCTGATTTGTTACGATTTTTTAATCATTACTACTTTTCATCACATTTTTTGGTCACCGTTTTCATTGAAGTACATTCTGAAATGGATCCAAGAAGTCCATCGTCTTCATCCCGAAGCAATCTATGCAGTATTACTTCCTCATCCTTTAAATTATGCTCGGGTTGGAAGCTGCTGGTAAGTTAATCGAGATAAATCATCGATAATTGTTACTACTGTAATAAATTGCTCGAGGTGAAATATGTAGATTAAGATGAAAGGCGGTTATTAGAAAGCTTTAAGACAATTATGTCAACATCTATGTATGCTCGAATACAATTATATTCGTTTCTCTAAGGCTTCAGAAAGTCTGTCAAATAAGGGTTAAATAGATAGGATCTTATTTACTGTTTCTAACATATTTTGTCATACTCCTGTGTCTAAATACCGCGTTTCAGATTGTGGATACGCGCTGCTGAAGAGTTCCATATTAAGATTAATTGGGTGTCCAGTGCTTCCAGGTTTTCAATGATGGTCTGACACTGATCGATTAATTACCCCAATCGAAGCTTAACAATTTTCACAACCATATGCTAATATTTTTTGTTAATATATCAATAATATCAGCCATATTTTCATATTCATTTCTATGTATGTGTATTTGTCTACGACTATTTGACCATACTGTTCGTATCTACTCTAACATTGCATCATGATAAACAAAATTGAATAAGCAATTTTGCTCAAGCCATTTTCATTGCTTGTCGGCTATCGCGTAGATGAATGAAATATAATTTTCCAGTCATAATTCGTATTTGGCTTTTAAATACTACCATTGCTCAAATACATTAGACAAAGTATCAAAAAAGTTAAATATGCGATATATTTCTTCGTCAATTAGAATCAGGGCAGAGGCTCGAATGAGGGGACTTTTTTACAGAATGGCGAGCCCTCTGACAATATAGCCCTTCAAATTTGACCCTAAGTTAGGTTTCATCAGTTTGTGGATGGTAACTAGAAAAGTACAAACCGTGGTTTACATTTAGAACTCCAATCGATGTACTATTGAGGGTGACTATCATTTAATGTTCAATTTTTATAGACCTTCAACGTTTCTCTTGCTTTTCTATGTCCGTTTTGAAAATTATCTTCAAATCTCCACTGTCAAAAAGATTAACTCTTTCTTGAAAAATAATCTCCAATGTTTTCTTATAGTTACTCGGAATCTAATCATTCACTAAATTTAATAATTTGTTTTCTCGCTAAAGTTGAATAAAATTACAAACACTTGACAAAACACCAGACGTTACAAAATAAGTTATTTCGACAAATAAAATAATGCAAATTAACCAAACTCATAGTCGATTCACGATTTACTTACTATTTGTTGTTTGAAATATCCTGTATAGAAATCTTAATTCGCATTTTAGAACTTAAAAATATTTTCATAATTCTTAATTCTATATATCTGTATCTAATAGGGATTCAATCAGTGATCATTTGTCAAGAGTTAAACATGGTCTCAGCCGTATTGGTAGTTTAATACCATATGATATTATTACGTTTGAGGTTAGTTTAACTAATATAAATATATATGTAGTTAATTGTCATTATTGATATGCTCAAAGTCATACTGTTTTTTATGGAACTTGAATATAAAACTTGAATGTATACAATGATAGTATCAAAATTTTAATTTATCACTTAACTAAAAGAATCTTCAATTTGATTTCCCTTTTATTCACCTGCTAAATTATACATTCCAGATGAGTAGGTGAACAAACATTGACATTCATCACTATAAATATAACTCTATGGCATTTTAATGGTTGTCTAATGGGAGGCGTATCACTTACAATCTAATAAGTGTTATTCATTTTTATGAGAAATTTTCCACAGCCTTTACCATCACCTTGAAGTATACGTTTTGTAAAGTTGAATCAAAATAATGTGAGACATAGAATTTCGAGTCAACAAAATATTCCTTTCGTTTTATTTGCTTCCGTTATATATTAAATATTTTATTTTTATTTCAGACTTGGGATTTTGTAATGCCATACTGGTTAGAATCAATTCGAACTGAAGTTTCAAGAGCTGATTATCCAGAATTAGAAATTCTTCTCAAGTAAGTTCAGTAGTTGATAACTTTATTCACAAAAAAATCTGAAACTTATTTTGCACATTAATTTCTGTCAGTTACATAAGATAAATTTGTTTGAACCAGTTTTTCTGATAAAAGTAACTTTCTAAAAGATATATATATATATGATTGAAAAAAAAAGAAAAATGAATAACCGGAGAAGTTTAAAAAATTATTTAGCCATGAAAAGAGAGCATAAGGAAGTCCTAACTGTGAGTAAAACGTTTCTGTATATACGCTTACAAATTAGAGGCGATGCACTCAACGGAATCTTTATACTTTAGTTGCAAAGATCAATATAAAGAACTTTTAATGAAGTAATTCACAGTTAACATTTTTCACACATCTGATGGTCAGTCTGAGGTTAAAAGATAAATTACGTGTACTAGCCGTTTACTGCATCTATCAATTCAACTGCTCTTGTGGAGCACGTTATATTGGCAAGTGTACTAAGAATTGGAATTTTCGTGCTCGCCTGCACCTTCCAGTGTAAATTAGCAAAAGTACATTTAAACCTGTGAACAGCTTGACTTCAGTTCAGTTAGTACAAATAGGGCATACAGCCAACGCGGAACAATCATTTACATTAATTTATTTAAATATACAAAAGTCGCATCGTGTTTAATGACATTCCATTTTGATGATATACTGACGTAATTCGAACTATGTTCATAGAACCTTCCTCTTTGCATTTTCATAGCTTAAACTTAATTTTATATATTATTGATATTCTCACCTTTATTATCACTATTGTAATCATTTCTATTATTAAAGCACATGAAAAGGCATCCATCCTTATTTACTAATTCTACATATTACATGATTTACGATTAGTAAATATATTCTTATCTCTATCATCCCATGTAAACCATATTTATTCTAACCTATAATCTCAAAATTCCATTTAACGTATAAACATATTCAAGTTAAAACCTCATGCAATTTATTCCAATATTAACGATTTTATTTTATTTTACAATCCCAAATTCACATGCTATAACTTTAAAAGATATATTTTGCCTTAAACCTGGTTTATTTCTGGATCATTAATTTGGATGTATAATTGTAGAACATCAAGAGAAAAAAGTATTGAAAATCACATTCTTCGTTCATATATCTCGGATGGGAATTTTTTAGCGATTAAAAGTTACATACTGAGTGACCAGTAAAAAATAAGTGATTTTCTTTTTAATGTTAGATTCAATCTAAACACACTTGTTTCAATTTTTAAAAAAATCCGATAACGTTTGAGCTCCACTTCAACTTAGTAACAAATATTCAGAAAAAGATCTTGAAAAGAAAAAATCGTTATTTTCATGAACATTCCTGTCATTGAATATGAGGATAAATTTGCATGATTATGACTTTTGTGAATTAACAAAAATAGCTTGTATTGATTATTCATTATAGAGAATAGAGTTGATTATCAGAAATGAATTTATTTGGTATTTCAGGCTATTGGCCATTAGTTTCCCCAAATTCAAATTTCACTTTTGAGATTCTATGGTTTAGTCTAATCTATTATACAGCTTGTTTTGTTATTGGACCATTTACACGAACCGCTCAAAGCTTTTCTTCTTATAATTTGAGATTGGTTAGAATTCTTGGTAACCATTTGTGCATGCGATGGAAGTGGTTTTTGTTTCGAACTGAAACCTCTTGTAGAATTACTGAAATTCAAGATGAACTAGGTAGCTAATTCGTCCTAGTTTGATACTGTTTTGTTACTGAATAACTGTTATACTTGTGATCGCCGATTAGAGAGCATTGAATTATCGATCGAATCATGGGCGCGTAAACCCGTATGAGCAGTCTAAAGTCTCGCTTCCTGTCTAACCCAGTCAGCTAAGTCCAGAACACCAATCCGAGCCTCGGCGATATGAATCATTATATTTCAAATATACTGAGTTTATATACCAACCGAACGAACCACAACGTACCATAAAATAGAAAATAACATTTGTACAAGATTTGACTAAAAATGGCTGTGAATGAGGGAGGTAGTGATTAATAGACTGGGAATAATTCAAGAATGGAAAATCGTATAATAACAGTCCATAGGTTTAAATAAAGCTTATGATAAGAGAAACATGAATATGAATAGTTTAGTTAATTAACAATTATAAGATAAAATATACGTACAGTATCGGTTCACAAATGGATCCCAAAAATTACCACTCACTAATGTTATCGGGGCATAATAATAACCAACTACATGCTTTCGTCATATGGTATGTTTTAATGTTATTCAGACATCACTCATGTTATTCACTGCAGTGTGCTTGTTATTATCATATTATTTAAATCGACATCATTAGTTTGACTACATGATTCTGAAGTTATTTCTTTTTTTAGAAATCTATCGTACAGTCTTATTTTACACTATAGTAATGAATTTACTAGTTATACATTACATAGCAGAGCCATGAGTAAGTGAAGTATGTGGATCAAATAACATCGAGAAAGTAGGATTATATAAAAGTACTAATAATTTTTCTTGAAAATAATCTGTAACAATGTTATAGTAGTTAGGAAAAGCAGAATAATTTTAAGATTGGTAATTCGTTTTTTACCTGAAAATTATCTAGGTTATTTGTGTTCGAAAAAGTAGTTCATTTATGACTAGAATGAAATCACAGTTCATATTTCTTTTAATTCCTAACTTGTGTAACTCACAATTGATTGATCACTGGGTGGTGACCAATGTCATGCTTGTCTAGTCCTTATTATTAGTGCAGATCGAATGCTATCGACCATGTTGCAATGTGGCCACCAGTCTAGGTGACTCGACACTGCAGGAGGTCGGTCGCGGCCCGGATAGCTCAGTGGTAACATCTCTGACTGTGAAGCTGGGTGACACGGGATCGAATCCGCCAGGGAGCACCAGTTCCCTCAAAGATTACAGGTACACCTTGCTGACGAGTGCCAAGTAGCACGAAACCCGGGTCCAGGGTTTCCTGTCGACTACCTCCAATCACCATCTAAACTTGTGTAACTGTTTGCTTACACACGTTTGTTACCTCTCGTGGTGAAGCATAGGCCACTGACCGATAATCTTCAACCAACTTTGTTCTGGGCAGTCTTTTCCAGTTGTTTCCACTTGTTATCCACTTTCTTTGATGTCTGACATTAAGTCCCGACTTATTGTATTGTGTAAATAAATTTTCTAAAATTAATTGCTTTTATTTTTTGTCTGGACAGAAAAATTTTTGATGCGACTGCTGGACCATTTCCATTTTTACCACAAAAAGTTTATCATTTCGCCAGTGAACGTTTTATCAATACTCCAGTTAGCGTGCAAGATCAAGCTTTAAGTTGGTTAGAGGTAATTTTACCAATACATTATTTTTAATTTTCATATAAACGTGTGCGACATTTATCAACCTAGATTGTTATCACTTTTGTGTTTGAGTTGTTTTACTAAAGCTGCTGTTGATATTACAAATAAATAGTTTTAATGAATACTATAACTAATTTACTAACAAAGTAGATAATTTTGGATGACAGCTAAGAAACATATAGATGTTAGAACATCAGTTATAAATGTAATATTAGTGATACTAATTTGCAAAAATAAGTTTGATGAAAGAATATGAGAAGGAGAAAGTTTTTCCTGGTGTAAAGAGTTTTAAACAAGCTACGAAATTCTATTCGAAATGATCTGAAAGCAAACGGTGTTCACACATAACTTCTTAACTTAAAGATTATGCTTGACCAGTATTTTCGTTATAAACGTTTTTTACACTGATTCCAAAATCATGTTACCAATAGATTCATCAGAATTTCCATAAGGAACGTAAACTTCTGATTGTTTTGCATACTCGTTTACGTGCATTAGAACTAAATAAAGTTTTAAATAACCTAATAGTTATTTACTCGATGTGTCAATATTATTGGTAGTAATTGTGCATAGAAATCTGAATAAAAGTACTGTTTAATTTATTTCAAATAAAATAAACAGCATACATCATTTCATACATCCTAATCCCTTATTTTAAACACATCTCATTGTTCTTTGGTCGCTTTGACTGGTAACCTGCCATGTCTAATAACGATTATATCAAATAAATTGAATCACTATAGATAGTGAAGCCCACAACAAGAAAATTCAAATGATTTGTTTCACAAAGATCACAGTCTCGGTTCTTAATTTCTCGCATATATTTGTTCTAAAAATATTAATCTTCGATTTAAATAAATTGTTCTCTTTAAAATTTGTCCATGAGATTCATATGACCTTGCTTAAATTACAAAACAAATATAATACAATCAACGGAATTATACGATTATTTTATTTTGTTAACGACTAATAACTTCATTACTTTGTTGAAGTAAATCCTTTGTCGGAAAAAATAAATAAAAGAACAGTGGCTTTAGTGGTTTTCTCTTACCAAATGTTGGTCGTGTAATGTATTATGTAATATATCAAGATGTGCATAAACCTTTAAAGGATTTATTGCATCTTAATAGGCATTCATAGTGTTTTTCTGCTATAATAACAGAGTACTAACACAAGTAATGCTGATTTTGTTGAATTTAGCCTACTGAGGTAGCATACAATAATTCTTTCCACTTTTTAGATTCATTATATACTTCTTAACTATCATTTTCTGTCAGTAGCGATGCCCATTTCACTCCTGACATGTTTGATATTTAATGATTGTGTCTTCTCATTAGAACTTTGAGAGTGAGACAGATATAATTGATTCTCTAAAAGTAATCGTTGGGTTTATTATCACATGTTTCAATTTTCAGATTTTAACCATTGTTGAGGTTCCGATCCCTATGAAGGAACTACTTACAATGTTTGCAGCTGGTGTAGCATCATTGTTTTTAGAATTGTTGTTACCGACAAGTGAAGAGTCAGATAATGACTACTTGACTGATCAAGATGATTATGATGACTCATTAGGTCAGAACACTGCTAGCGAAGCTGATTGGCTAAATGAAAATGGAATTTTGTCAGAAAATGTTGTTCATGAAGATCGTTTACAGGATGAAGAGAGTGATATTTTTCTAGAAGATTCAAAAATAGATGAAGATGACGAAAATGTAGATAGGATCCCTGCACCGATTGACAACCAGTTTTTATCAGATGAAAATGAATATATAGTGGAAGGTGAAGAAGATGACGATACTACATTGGACGAAACAAAAAGTCTTTTATCTTACAGTGTAGATGATAAAAACAATTCTAAATCATTCACATCCAACACTTCACGCAAAGCTAATAAACAATATAGAACGAAACAAATTACAATGACTGAATCTAATATTCATCCAGATAATTCATGCTCGGTAGCAAATGATTCTAATTTAAAATGTCAAAATCTTTTATTGTCTGATGTTAAAACCGATGAAAGCTTTCAAAATAAATCAATAAATCAACAAAGTATTACGGACGAAAATGATGCACAACAACAAACTCAGGAATCTGAAAATAAGGATACACGTGAATTAACAACTGATCAAGAGATTAAAAAAAATAATCCTCAAATTAATCAATACAGAATCACTGCTTGTTTAACACATATGCTAGATATTGCGCATCGACAGGTATTCAACCTCTTTACTTTTTGTTTTGCTAAATCTTCACACTTGACAAAAAGTATGAAATATTTGGGCTTTTTGCATAAAATAGTAACGTCATAAGTCATTCATTTTTATTTTAAGAGTTCTCCGATAATTTATTTTGGAGGTGTATTACTATTTTTATAATTTAGTAGTGATCCCTCTTAAAAATTCTGCACACTGTTTGTAGCCTCGACTGCTTGAAAACTGAGGACAGATGAATATCAATGGGTAAAAGCCCAGTTCAGGAAAGTTATTGAACGAACCAAAAACAAAATAAAATAAGCAGTTATCTTTTATACTTTTATACGTTTCTCATACACATAAAATATTGAGTTTACTGCTTGAGTAGAAAAATATATACCCATTGTATTATCATTCTTAATTTTCAACAACAGTGATAATTAGTGAGCAGGAAATAACATTTTTTCGATGTTTTTGCCTCAATGATTTATGTATTTTATAGATGTGTTAATACATTGACAATCTCCGACCAAGAAACCTATAGTTTATTGTAGTGATCAACATAACTGTGTTCGTCTACTCAAAAGTCTTATGAAATTCACTGAAATGTTAGAGAAACAAGTTCACAATAAATAAAAGTAGTATAATAGTTGCGTAGTGGTACATTGATTATATTTTTATATCTTAGAACATTAACATACGGTTGGTAAATTGTTAGTACATAGAATGTTTTTTCTGCGACCTCTATAACGTTGGTATTAATGTTTTTCGTTTCCGCTCCTTGTTTTGACTTAACGTACTGAATAATTTTGTTAGTGTTTTCATGAATCTATAGATTCATATATCTATTGAACATTCGTAACAATTAAATGATATATTTTTGTTTATGAATGTTTTTTAATCAAAATTAAAGCTAAAAATATTGGATCCAATTGGACATTCTGGTTATACACAAGAAACACCGCAATTATTAATATGGCTTTTAGGTGATATGTTGGAATTGTACTGGGGTAATGTTACTGAGACAGTCGATCAAACAACAAGTCCAGGTTTAAGAAATCTACATTGCCTTGGTTTGGAAACTTGTATTCTACCAAAATCTAAAAATAAATTATCAGAAACGGAACCGCCGATATCAACAACTTCATCCCGTATGACCGAAAATCATGATGAAAATAACATTAGTCAGATTAATCTAAACAAACAAACAGATGATGTTAGTGAATGTATTGACTGTTTAGATATGCTCACGTGGTTTAATTATGCTAGACTGATATGTCAACACTTAGCACCAATAAGACCAACGCCTAAAGTTACAGTTGATTTTACCGTTGATGCATTAAAAGCTGTGGTAGATTTCCCAGGTACGTTGTTACTTCGATACATCTTTAACTCACTCTAATTTTTTTTAATTTCCTTTAACAAAACCTCTACATAATAGTGTTTTTCAAGTACTATTCAAAATTTTATTCGAAAATTAATTAATATAAGTAACGTAGAGCGACTTACAATTTCCTTAATTTTTAAGTTTTATCTTTTTCAACCTAGTATGTATAATTCCCTCTCTATCTGAAACCAATCTTAAGAAATCAGAATTTATCAATCATTTATTTTAGAGTATACTGACTGGAGGGATTCTGGTGACAACGAAACGTCAGAAATTAAATCTTTAGCTCCTGGACCAGACATTACTGAAACCTCTGAAAAACTCCCATCTTCTGAAGATTTATGTTCCATTCCTCCCGTACTGCGTCTAATTTATTTATTGACACGATTTGTGAAGGAAGGTACGCGTCGTTACGTTGAATATGAAGACTTAAATAGTGAGTCGGATGGTTTATTTCGAGATGCAACACCAGTGACAATAACAGATGAACATCGGAATACCTATTCTTCAGTTTCGTCTGTAAACAAAACAGTTATCGATCTGAAAACGTTTCGCGATCCTGTCGTATTGCAATGTATTTTAGAATGCCTAGCATATCTATGTCATACTGGTGATGCACTGAGACAAATTTTAACAAAAGCAGAAAAAGAAGAACAAAAACTGCTTACTAATGGATCCAGCGGTTCAGCATCCATATCAACTAATACAGTAACAGCTGGAGGAATAACCGCCAGCAGTGTAGCAAATATTGTGAGTACCACAACAACAGGACCAATTGGTATTAGCAGTCTAATAGGATTAACTGGAAGTAAACTAACAAGTCAAATGACTAGTCATGATCCATCAACTAAAGGGCAGCTATTACAAAGTACAAAGACTTTAACATCGCGAAATTGTACTGCGACACCAAAAGCACAGAAAAATTTTGTTTATTATTTAATACATTCTCATTTAATCCCAAGGTTAGTAAACTTAAATAATTTTAGCTCTACATAGATTTTTTCTTTTTTTAATCGAAAAATACTTTTCATAAATAATTTGAAAGTCTATTTTTTGGGAATATGATGATAATGATATTTTTTTGTTTTGTCTCGTTAATGTAGTGTTAGTTGTTGCACATAATATTAAGATAATGTTAGGGATACAACGCCAATTTTATTCACACGAAAAACATATTTAATTTTAAGCCCTTTCTAGTGTGAGAATCTGGTTAAAATGATAAGTTTTAATGAGATTATGTTAATTATGTATTATTTGATCAGGCTAGGCCTCTTGATTTAAAATAAATATTAAAATGCTGGAAGCACAACTTTTTAACCAACTCAACTGAAAATTGAAAGTACTGAATACGTTTCTGGTCACTATTTGTTTGTTAAGTTTTCCATTTATTTACCTTTTCAGTTTACATCAAATCATGTATACTGTTTAAATAATGAGGTTTTATTTCATTCAGTATGAATAAATTCATTGTGAAATATCGCTGAAGAGTAGACTTAATCTTTATTCTAATTTAATGAGAATGATTTTTGTATTTTAAAGAATTGTTTTAGAATTTGTCTAAAAATCTTGACAATGTAGTGAAATACAAACGTGTTCTTGAAAACTTGACTATAATTATGATGATAGATTCATTAACTATCATATGAATGAGTATATATTTGAATTTTTAGAATACATAAATAACCGTCTCTTTCAACAGAAATTAAAATAAATACTTTAACTGTAAGAACCCATTTCTCCTGATGCTCCACTTCAACGTGACCATATCTTATACGATAGGACAATCATCGCCGCCAAAAGGATTTTTTATACTGTGGTTCTTTTCTCATGGTAGTTGCTCAAAAATTGCATGAGTTACTCGCTTTCATAACTTTAAAGTGTAGTCACCAAATCTAATACTCCTATAAAAGACGCAGCATCTGAACTACTATTGTGGTGAACAGGAACACAAGTGGGTGCTGTGGAGCTCGTTAAATTCGTTGGCGGTGGCGGGCTCACCACTTCGTAGAGCCCGTTTATTTGACTCCAAATGATCGTAATGATTGATTGTTATCGCCTTTCCTCGTATATAATCATCGACTTAAATCGCGTTAGTTAATAACGGAATTAAATAAGTCAAATAACGAGAATGGACTTTTGAATACTTATATTTGTGTACGAAGCGAACGGAACAAAGAGAAGAGAAACGACGCGCAGTAGAGATGGCTGGTAAGCCAACTCCCTATTTAACCAAGTGTCAGTCAATATTTATAAGCACACAAAAATAAATTACACACATGTGATGAGTAACGGGATAAGAAGTGTACACACGCCTACGCGCTCATATAAAAACAGTCAAGATTGATAAGCGAATAATTAGCAAGGTCAAAATGTGACTCAAGTAGAATGAATAGATTGAGATGTTCGAAAGTTAGAATAAGGTATTTGGGCTAAACATAATGACAGATACTACAGGACAACCAGATGTATTTGAGCACAAAATTACAGAACATCTCACTAAAATCTCAGAACCATACCGTGAATAGTTAATTTGCAAAATATCAATCAATTGTCTCAAACTTGACTGTTCCTTTTGCAAATCTCAGTCCATCGTCTCAGATTTCATTTTCATACCAATTGCTTTTCGTGCCCTTTCTTTCCCTCTCTATCTGCCGCTGAAATACATTCTATGTCTGACCATCGTTATGTGGATATAAGTAGCTCACAACACACTATCATATAACTTACGGAACGTGTTATACATTCTTATTTTGATCCTATCCAAACATTATTGTTCGCTTATTTGCATTATTCTAAGATTTCCATCAGTTTATTTGCATTATTTATAATTTGACAATTGTTATTGTTAAGATCAAGAAATTGATACGCGTGTATTCGCTAATAATAAATAATGCTTCCATATTAAAAAAAACTTGCATTTTTATAAATAAGCCTACAATTATTCCTGTTTTTGTCTTTTTTCTAAAATATAATAATAGTTTCTGGAGTTTACTGAAATCGGAATTATCATATTTAGCAAGTTGGACAGTTCCTTTAGTTCTTCACTGTTTGTCGTTTCCTGGTGGATTTAATGTATTCTGGAAATTAATTGAACATGATTTTTCACATTGTGATTGGAGAATTCGTTTTGGTGCAATAGAAAAAGTATCAGTTTTACTTAGAGAATTAGATTATTGTATATTAGCCAGTGGTTTCAGTGGTTCAGCTGGAAATAAACTTAATCATTTATTATCTGGCGGAAGTATGGCAAGTTCAGGCGCAATAAATCTTTTCAGTCGATTAACTGGTATTACACATATGGGACGTACAAAATTTAATCCAAATCGTAAAAATCTACCTAGTGGTCATGGAATGAAACAACATGGTGGAACAAATACGGAACCGATCAATAAAGTGGCTGCTCAATCAAATAATAATCGTCATCCATTAATTCAAAGTGCCATAGCTCATGCATTTTGTTGTTTAATTGGTTCATTAGATGATCCTAATTCAACGGTGGCACAATATACTTCACTGCAAATTGCATCATTAAATAATATTTCTTTAGCTGTGAGTAATAAAAATTCTAATAATTTACATATTTTCAATATAACAATCTGTAAATTTATTTAAATGTATTAATGAATGGCGAGTTTCTGAAAGAATTTTTTCAATCATTTCAACATCAAACTACAGTTATAGATGCATAATTAGTGCATTAAAATAATCAAAATAATGTGTACATAAATAAGTAAAATAGGCAATGCTGTATGGTAAATCAGTGAAATTTTTCATAGGCTGCGGTCTCATCTATCTTAATGTGGTATTTACTATCTACCAGTTGTCAAATGAACGATAATGTTAACATGTCTTACGACTCCTTTGTAAAGATATTCCGATACATGTTCTCCAGCATTCAATGTTAAAGCCTCTCTAAATTTATGAATTATACACTTTGGAAAGATTCAAGTTGTAACTGATGCATAATTTTGCCATTCTAACACAATACATTGCCTAAGTCAATTACTCATGCGCGTCCTGTTTTAGCTATTGTAATACATTAGTCATGGGTTGATATCTGTAGTGTCTGGAGATGAAGTTATCGAGAACAATTGTTTGTTTTAAGTTTCATTGGTTTTTGAATACACGATAACGATCTTCAAACTAATACAGTTTACTAACTAACTGCTCATCCATTCATTTTCATAAACTTCCATAGCCTTAATCTCATCAGGGCATTGAAGTAATAATGTTCTGTGGTAATTAGAATAAAGATTAGATAAGGTTTAGACGATACATTGAATTAAAGAAAGCTTGTAAAACCGGAAAAGAAATGACAACGCGTTAAAATCTGAATTGAGTCAATTAAACGAAATGAATATTTTCAATCTCATCATTAAGAAATTTAATATATTAAATGAAGAAAAATGAATGATAAACTGCATAAGCATATAAATAATAAGTACGAAGAAATGAATATATTAATGATAGGTGCACAAATTTAAGAAAAAACCAAGGAAAAGAAACATACTTTATCTTGATCTGTTATATGTAATTGGAATCAAAGAACTCCTTTAGTACACCAACGAACTAGATAAAAGACTATACGAGGTGCTACGCAGGTAACTAAAGTGTATTAGCTCAAAGCTGATGAAATACGGTTTTATTTTTAAATCCCAGTGACCTAAAATGGTAAATAAATGCAAGATAACTAAATTAAATGAATCACTAACTGACTGATTATTAAATACATCGATGAATTTATCTTTGTTCATGATTAATGAACATATTTTCTTGAAAATAATCTACACAGTTAAAAGTAAATTAAAGTCAAATGGATATGAAATACTCGGGTGTTGGCGATTCATGAACTAAGGCCTGAACTTTGAATACACAAACAACACGCACAATTTTTATTACTTCTTTTGCCCTAACGCCCATTCCAGTAAATTTTTGTTAGGTTTATTATGATCATATTTTTATCTTTATAATATGCATTTTAATCCGTAGTCAGTTATCACCACCCTCTTTCAGTTGTTAGTAATTATTATTCGATTGTTTTGACGACATTTGCGTTTTTTTCATTTCTGTCAAGTGGACGGTTGCCTTTCGTATTTCTGAACCTTAATTTATTTTAATTTTTCTCTAAATACTTACACAACCTTATTTTAGTACTTAAAATCTCAGAATATCTTGTTGGTGTGATCGCCTTCCAATCTTCTTTAGACCCAGAAACTTGTTAAACCCCTGTGAATTCGACTGTACATCTATGGCAAATGATATCGAAAAGAAAATTCCCTTCGCTGGATTCTCTTTAATTAATGACACAATTATTTACTTTATTGCTTTGAACTAATTTGATTTTGTGTTTGATCGTCATTTTTGTAGTGTGCAATACAATGTTTAGAATTTCAATTCGATACTGTAATTTCTGACCGCTGTCTTATTTTACAACGCATGCACCAACTCAGTTGCAGTCTACCGAACAGAGAAATATTTACATGGGACTTTTTTGTTAATCGCTTTGGTATATTAGCTATACAGGCTCAATTAGGCAATTCACCTGGTCAAGTTGATATCGATTCAGGTAAGGTTTGATAGTATTTTCCCACCTTCGACTGTGCACTTAATCAAAATGTTTGTGTTTAGAGAATGGCTTTACTATTACGTGTATTTCATACTCCAACAATACATTTAACGATTCTATGTAAATCTTCAAAGTCATGTCAATGATAATACCACATTGTCTAACATTCACATCGTGTTTTTAGTTTTAATGCCGTTTGATGTTCACTACGTTAGATGAATAAAAAAATGATTCATTTACTGAAAGTATGTGACTATCATGATTATTTTTGTTGAATTACCGGAGTATTCATGTAAAACATGGTAGATTCATCAACTTTCTACTAAACCGTAGTTTTCTTTTAACACCGAATCGTTCCATGGTCATCACTCTGATATATTTGAATGTCTTTTTCGAATAACTGGGAATAAATAGAATTAATTAGTTCAGTTAGTGTACTGCGGTGATTCACTTAAGTCAGTTATCTTTTATTTTGATATGGAGCACACTGAACGGAGTTAAAGATGTTTTAAACGTACACTGCTAAGAAATAATGGGATATTTTTGGAAGGAGAAAGTTTAAGTTACTGAATTGCAGACTAATGTTTTCTAACGTCAACCGACCAGAAAAAAGCTTCCGTACTTAAGATTTTGGTCCATCATAAATTATGGCTCAGAGAACATTTTGGTTGGTTAGATATCGTCCGATAAATCAACGCAACTTGCTCAGTCCTATTTTCTGTTTTATCTTCGTTCTAAGCAAATGTTTGTATAGAATAGTTATTGGACACAAATAGGTATTTCCTCAGTACTTAAAGCCTGAGTATTGTCAATTAATCGTTTTTCAGTAATTTGGAACAAAATATAGTAAATGAATAAGTCTTTGATCGTTGTACATTCTTTAAAATCGATTCTGTCAGTTAATATTTGAGTAAAGCACGAACAATAAATGTGCCAGAAAAACATAAATTCATTTATTTTGTAAATTTTCTGTAGCGTATAACAAGAATATTAATAATACTAAAAAATAACTAAATATTACTTTATATCAGATTGATGGTGATTAAAGTTGGTTCTGATGTATAGGTATAGATTAATAAAGGACATTAATTATGAGTTCATGATTTCAATGAAATTATAGAAGGATTAAATAGATGAAAAGAATCGAAAAAAAATAAATGAATTCACATTATTGACCCTATTTCACTATACTTCATAATGGGGAGTAGCTATAAAGACAATTAAGGTTTATTATTCTCCTTTAAAGTTGGATGAAACTGTAGTCCATATATTTTTGAATAAACATAGTTTAATTTTATTTTCGCTTTCTAGTGACAGATTTAAATGGATCACATCGTACTGGTGAACATTTTCAAAATCAATTTGAACGCGCAGCTTTTGCAGTTCATAAAAGTTCTGGAATTAAATCAATCAGTTTAAATTCTCATGCATATTCATTAAGATTCAGTACGCATACAGTTGGAAGTTTTACTCAAACACAACAATCTCAATTACATATAAATCAACAATCATTGATTTTTAATTCAGGTTCAACTACACAAATAGGAGAAGAATGTAAAAATGAGAATGATGGAAAAAGGAAACCTTCAATTCAGATTGAATCAGGTGATTAAATTAAATCGGTTTTACACATAAGAAATCACATGTAGATGTATAGATCACAGCAATATATATGTAGACGTCAAATTTATTAATAATCCCATTTTATATATATATATATATATATATATATATATATATATATATATGATTAGGAAAACAAATTCATCCATCACAAATGCAACACAAATGGCCTATTTAATAAAGTCATCTAAGCTTTGCAATTTATTCTTGATCTTCTTTAGTATTGATTTCCTAGTGAAGTAATTAAGTTTTATGGGTGATTAAACAGATAGCATCAATAAATATATTTAATTTGAATTGGCATTAATATAGTCAAAGTAATAAATTTTGGTGAAATGTCGATTGATATGAATTAGAATAGCTGATTAAGCATAATGGATCTAGAACTTGTAGATTTGCTTATAATTGATAGCAAGCAGACAAATGAAGACATCTATCTGTCAACCTATCTAAAATTGGTCAAATTATTGGAATAACTCTATGAATCTTACAATACATTGATTGTATATTTTTAGGCGCAAATCATTTAACTGAAAAAAATTTAACAATTTGTTTTGATTTGTGTTAATAATAAAGTAACGAAAACAAGTGATATTACAGAGTGAAACTACATGCGTAGCTGAATTACATTTTAATTATATCAATCATTCAAACTCTCTACTCAAGATACTAAACAATTCATTTCATATATTTTAAATTTAGGCAAATATCAGAATGAATATTTAACACTAGTTGATTACTATTGATAGATTATTAAACCTTGTTTAGAGTTAACTTGAATATGAATGTGATTACTGAAAATATTGATAGCAAATTCAGACAAATTATATCTTCATGCTGAAATAAAAAAATATATGTTTTCATCTTTTTTTTATTTAGATTCTGGTATGATAGATGGCGTACAAAGACCACATTTTAGATTTAGTCATGGTGGTAGAAGATCTCGTCCATCAATATCATCTGTTTGTGGTTTATTAACAGGTATAAATCTTTTAATTTTTAATTAAAAGAATTATTTAATTCGTTTCCATTCGAAAAGAGCGCCTAAAATAATCACTTTCATGTGTAAATTTCAAAAATATGATGAAAGTATAGTTCATCAAAAAAATGTCTATGCATTTTGTAATTCTTACTTTTTTTCCTTTATTATTATCATTTAATGATTTTCTGTCGTGATTGGCTCCTTCTATACCATAAATACAGAGTCAAGTTAGGTAAATGAGCCACTAAGTTGAACAAAATGTTTTCTACAAACGCATACTACTTTTCAGGTCAACTTTTTTTCTCACTACATTTTCAATTTTTACGTCAATCTTTTTATGAAATTATAAGCGTAATCCACCGTATCAATTAGGTTAAGCGAATATTTCAAGTGTTGTACTCATCTGCATTATGTGGTCTCTTTTATAAGTCTATTGCTTATCTCTTTATACAAGTGTGAAAACCGGTATCATAACCACATGCTTTACAAATTTTTAATCAACTAGTTAACACTACATATACATTATTTTTCACGCTTATTCTCACTACTTTGCATTTTTGTATGATAAAACTGTAATCAATTGATAAAATCTAACTTAATTATGGCTGAATGAATTGTCATTATGTAAAAAGAGACTGTTCACTAAAATATGTATTTTAGTTCTCATCACAATGCTATCAAAGTATACTGTGCAATCGAATACTTTATCGATTCAGCTGAGACTACAAATCTCTTACCTCCTAATAACTTGGTTTAAGTCAATCTTTTTTTACAGCATCTGTATAAAGACAAAAACGTTTAACATCGTTTCCTGTTTTCTTTTAGCCCGAAAATTGATACGACACTCAAAGCTTAGGTCCAGCAGTTAGACCATTTTTCTCCAATCGTCTATGACATTTTTTCCTGTTTATTTAGTGTTTATATTTTGCATATAAGGATGATTTTTGTTGTGTGAAAAACCACTTAACTAGTTTTGGAGTTTGTTTTTGATTTCCAATTTTTCAGGGGCCTAAATAAATTATATAGTCCATTGAGTAGTCATCATTGGGTGACATTTTACCATTGCTTCCATCGGTATATTTGCGTTCTATCCATAGATTTTTAAAATCGTAACCATCAATGTTATACGATTTATTAGCTTACTATTTTAGTGTTGGTTCTGATAAACCAAACAGTATAGTTTATTTAAAGAAAATGTCCAATCATTTGAAAACTTCAGTATCATTGTTGATAACATAGTCATGTTTACAACGATAATTGGTGGGTTGATTGATTTGTTAATAAATTCAGTTGCTTAATCTCATGATTATTGAAGTTGATTATCAGAAAATCAGTGAGATTAATAAAGCCTAAACAGATATACCGCTAAAATTAATTTTAATCCTTTTTAATATACATCCGTAGTTAATCACATATGTACTATTAAAGAAATTCAAACACATTTTTTCTATTAATTAGGTGGTCTACATGCTAGTGAATTTGTTGATAGTAATAACAAATTTTTAAGTTCAATACAACAAGCATTGGATTTAGACGGCAATGAACGTGATACACTACATCAATGGGTTCGTTTATTACTCAAGTTTATGTCTACAGTTCAATTGGATTTAAAGCTGGATGAAAGCTGTACAGGTGGAACTAGTGGAGCTGGTGGTGGTGGTGACGGAGGTGTTGGCAGTGGAATCGGTAGCAGCGGTGATGGTAGTGTCAGCGGTGGACGTCACAACATGGCAAACAAGTCTAGAGACGAATTAAAAGACAGAAAGGCTTTAAGTAAAGCACAAAGACATTTAGCATTTTTACTTGGTTATACAGATGGTTCATTTGATATACCCCCACACAAAATGAGGTGAGTTGTTTTTGTATAACAAATAAAAGTAGTGGATGCTCATTGCTGGGTCCCATGCTGGGACCAAACGGCAGTCCAGTGCATCCAGGTTTTCATTGGTGGTTTAGTCTAGATCGAATCATGATTTCAACTGTTAAAATAGCAGTTTATTACAGTGATCATAAGGACTTAAGCAATTTTTAGTAGTACTGGTTGAAAACATAGAAAAACATTACGAATTAAATTTCTTAGTTGCATAAATGTCTAATTAAAACAGAATAATTCATAAATCACTTGTAGTGACCTATAAAATTGACTATTGTAATAAAACCTAGGTTTCATACTGCACTTGTTGTATGTTGGTTAGTTACATTGACTGAAGTGAATAGAGGTTACCAGTTGAGTTTGTTCTGGAGTTGTAAACTAAAGTCATCGAACAAGATGTATAAGTATTTTAATACTGTATCCAGCTCAGCAGTATATCCTTGCGTAGTCCGTTAAAATTTCAGATTCTCTGGTTCTCTCCCACATCAACGTCGTACAAAACTCTTTTTTGTCTTCTCGCTATATACCCTTTTATCCCTCAATTATAGTTTGGACAGTAGTTTCTGCCCAACATTAGTGTCACAACTTCGAATCCTGACAGATTTACTTTACCTTCAAACAATCGGTAGAGCGGCATAGAAATATTTGGAAATTTTTCTGATGTTCACTACAACCTGTTATCTGATATTATGATGTCTAGTGACCCGCCGCAACGGAAATTTTTGTCCATCACTTGAAAGGTTTCGTTGGTGAACTATGAAGCTAAGAGGACAATCTCTGGCTAATTCAGGGAGGAAGATACTAGTTCGGTATGTACTAGTTTTGTTGTTAGATATAAGTAGTATGTAGCACCATTAGGAATTGGAGTGCCTACCAACAAAGGGTTGGATTGAGGAAAAAAAGAAAGGCAACTGAGAATAATTGGAACAATCATGAAGCATATAAACGACAACTGAAAAATGTGCAAATGGTGTATGTAATGTATAGTTTACATATTTTAAGAAAACACTCAGTATTTTTTAGTTAACAAGAAATTGGTTATATCCACCAAGTCTTCGTTCACTTCACTGGTACAGTATATGTGATATCATTCATTGGGGTGATAGGGTTAACATTCGGTAGAGCCTGCGATATTTCCTGTTGTAACTAAAACATTCTAAATCTCAGTTTACTGCTTCAAAGTTTCTGGACAAAGTTAACAGTTTTTGACTACATCAATGTTGCTGCCTTTTGTGACCAGCATGCGAAACTTCATGCCATAGATTTCATCCACTGCACTCATAAAGTTCTGATATGAAAATGATGAAAGTCTTCGGACTACAGTCTTTTCGGTATTACTACTCGCAAACTAAAAATTAGTAACGATGTGGAGAAAGCCCCATGTGTATTGGAATCACATTACATATTCGAAATCTTATCCCGGAAAGACTAGTACTGACTATTGCTGATTTCATTTAAAAACGATTCACATCTATTATTCCGGTTCTATAATACATTTTTCACAAACAAGAACTTCATTGGACAACATATACGACATAACGGGCATTGCGACACCGAATGATAGCTGATTAGTTCTATAAGTAATCAAAGTAACGAAAATTATTTAAATATTGACAATTAGCCGTTTGTCGAGGGGAGGTGTCTGAGAAGTTAATTTATCGAATATAACTTGTTAAAAAGAAACCAACCTTGTGAAGTAATATACTAACTTAAGGTTATTATTGTTCGCTTACTTAGAACCGTTACCCTTCGTGGAGTAGCATAGACCGCCCACCAGCAATCTCCATCGAACTCTGTCCTGAGTAATTTATCCCACTTGTTTTCAATCACAGTTCATTCTTTTGATGTCTGTCTTCAGTACTCGATGCAATGTGTTCTATGACCTTCCTCTTTTTCTTTTGCCTTCAAAATTCTGAGTCTGTACTTGCCTCGTGAGGTAGTTTGATTATTTCCGAATTTCATATCCTCTCCGCCTCCAACGTCTTTTCCTAATTTCCTCTTCAGCTAAATGGTAGTCTGTTCTCTGACACAATGAGTCGTTGCTGGTGGTATCCGACCAACGGATCTGGAGTATCTTGTGTAGATCTTTGTACCTGTACGTTTTTGACAATGTTTGTAGTTGTTCTCCACGTTTCAGCTCTGTACAACAGAACTGCTCTGATGAAAGAGCGAAAGGTAGCAGTCCTGTCTTCTTCTCCCTTAGCCACTCTATGATTGTTGCCGGTCCCAAGCTCGGATAGAAAAGGACGATTTGGCATGGGATCAACGACTGCATCTCGTGGAAGACAATCTTGTTTAAAAAAGTGATAGTTGTTCAAATGACATTTAAGGAGGCCATCAGCCAAATTTTCTTTGAGCTTTGAACAAGAACGTCAGTGCCTCTCGTGAATTTGTTTGATAAATAATATATAGCAACAGACTGGCTGGGTGTGCTGTGAATTCGACTGAATACGCTAAAACCAAAAATGGACATTCTAGACGTGAAACTAGATATTTTTTTCCAAGTTCTAACATTGGTTTTCTGGTTGAACTTTAGGATTCCTTAGTGATTTTGTTGCATCATACTCCACAAACACTACACTGTTGCATGGACTGGATTTCTTGTCTGCGTTACACTCTTTCTCAACTGAATTTCATTCTGATTTTTATGATTTGCGAGATTTGTTCAGATTTTGGCCTCTTCAGAAATAAATTGATGAGGTCTATCTCTGACTGGATTAACTGAATATATGGCGGTTTCCATTCATTTTTTGTAATCATAATTTTAGCAAAAGATTTTTATCCCCATCGTTATCATTGTGAATAAGGGGTAATAAAGTTGACGTGAGTTATAATTGATAAAATTAATTAATAGAATGTCAATCGATAGATCTAATGCAATGATACGGCGTGGTCAAGTGACTACTGCTTACGAGACCAATTGTTTGATATTAGAAAATATGGTGAATTCCTAGAAGAACATGTTTTTCATCTCAAAATTACACATATTCAAACACTAACACAAAAATGAAGTAATCAGATATTATAAACATCTGACAAAAATAAATGTTATGAGTTGCTCAAATGAATAAGAGTCTAACCGTTAAAGCTTGTCCATTGCATCATTAAGAATGAATGGAATTAAACCACTTTATGAAAGATTTTATCAAAGATTAAAGAACATTTTCATTTAAATACTTCTTTCTTAAGTAACAAACACTTAAGAATCTGTATCATATAAGCACTTCATGTATATATTTGGCTTGTATATTGTGGATGGAATGCTTTATACTAATGTGAATTATTTTGTATGCTCTTTTGAATCCTCACAAAATCTAGAAATTCCACTGTTTTTCATGCATTTTTGGCACATGTCGCTGGTGTTCTCGATCGTAATTTTAGTATGGGCTGTTGTATTCTACATCAAACTCTGGTCGTTTTACAATTCTGTGCATCACCTCAACGTTATGCTACCGATACACAACCGCCAACATTTACTTTGAGATTATTAGAACCACAAGTTAGGCTTCATTGGCTTCAAACACTTTTAGTCATTCTGTATAAAGTGAGCAAATTTTATACTCGTAGTTTTTATTATCGTCTAAATATTGATCTATTTAACCAACACGAATACTGCAACAGACACCTAAATAATTAATTAACAACAATGACCAATGACCCAGATTCTTACTAACGGATATTATTCATTGACTCTAATTCTTAACAAGAAGTGGAGGTAAGCAACCGGATCCTCATCGAATATACAATATAGTATACGCAGACGTCGTTTATTTAAACATGAAGCTATCAACATCCACCCAAACAAACCTAATATTTGTATTCATAGGGAATTTGTAAAACCTCTTTTCTTGACGGGGCCATCATAATCAATAAATTTATTGTAAGTTGTCAATCTCATATTACACAATCTTTTATCAATATCTATGTGAATACTTTTTGTTGCTGCATAACTGTAACATACTTTTTATGCTTATACAACTGTTATTAATCATCTACTTTTTTATCATAATTATGTTAATTCTTGTAATATTATGTTATGGAAATTCTAAGTACATATTCCAATGCATTGATTTATTAGTTAAATACCCTTGAATATTATTTATTTCATTTAACTCATTTTTTATTTCTGTTAATTATTTGCAACTATTTCCAAAAACACTTATGATTTTGTAATATTATTATATGATACATTACCACTTGATGCATTAGTACTGATTTTATGATCATCATTAACTACATATTTTAGTGTAGAGCCGTAGTGATGTATATAAAATTTGCTACCTGTCGTGATACAGTCAAATATTTATTGTATTTCACAAGTTAGTTAACTAATATTGTAATGCATTTACTAAGGCAATCTTAATTAGTCAAATATGTGTTTCCACAATCAGTTCGAACTTTTTAGAAAGACAATATAATTAATACCGTTATTCACCTAAATTTTGTGTTTTTGGAGAAGAAAACATTTCCATCAGTCTCATGGAACTTAAATTCTAATTTATAAATTAAATAATCAATTTGTTTTAAATTTCTTTATATAAAAATTATAAATATTCAACAAACATTTGTAAATTCTTCGTTTGTGCTGTAGGATACTTAGCTTCTTTACTGAATGATTAAATCTTATACATGAATATTATTTATGTTTTCATACCAAGAAACACTTATTAAAGATGAATAAATTAATTTAAACTACTAATCGAATTCTGTATAGTTCAGTTTAAGCGCTAGTGGTGAGAATTCACCAGTAGACAAAAATCTAGGTATAATTAGCTTTTTATTGAAAAGAGTTATTTTCACTGTATTAAATAAGTAGAGTTTGGTATTGCTATCGTAATCACTGGTTAGAGTCTTTGATTGAAATCACTGAGACTTAGTTGTACTAACTTTTTGTTTCTCGTTAAAGCATGATTATTAAAATTATCTCAAGAATTTTTTACTGCACGAATTCATCCTTTTTCATTCATACTATCTCTTTGGAATTTTTTTAATACTATTCATAATATTGCTACTCCTACTGTGGTGCATGCTACTTATGCTGACAGATATAAGTAGTATATGCAGATATTCAGAAGTGGGATGACTGCCAGCAGAAGTTTTATTGTATTGCACAGTAAATTAAGAGTTCCCAAAAAAGTTTTGTAAGATCACTAAAACAAACTATCATACTAAACATTCTGTTCGTCATTATCTACTGCTCAGTGTTTGCAATCTTAAGATTATGATAAATTTGATTATCATTGTTTTACGTTTAGTTAGAAGATCATACTTAAACACTATATATTTTCTTGTTTTGTACCAATCCAGTATGAATACAATACACCTGGCGGCAATCTTACCGGAAATACAAATATTTCCAGCGCTATCTCCTATAGTTCAAGTATAGTAGCTTCTCATATTTCTAACCCACCCAATAATACAACTGGAGGAGTTGGAACATCCACTAGCAATACAAACAGTAACAACATCAGTCGTACACACAAAACAAGTTCAGGAAGTGAAACACAACTACAAATGGATAACGCAACTGGAAATTCATCTGGCGTTGGTAGTAACACTAATAGACTAAATCCTGGAGGTGGCAATGTCAGTACCAGTGTTGGTGGTAGTAATGCTACTAATGCATCTGCTTCATATCAGTTCACCCCGTCCAACCTACTTGGAGGAGGTGGAGGAAACACAAATCTTTTGTCATCACCATCAAACGTCATTGGTGGAACTAGGGGTATGGTAGAATATTTAATACAAATTGTTCTAAATACTTTGGATTCACATGTTCATGTTTGCCGAGATCGTCCAAATGAAGATTTAATTGCGCCATTTAATTCACAACTGAGACTAAGAGGTCAATAATTTTATTTCCATTGAATGATTTTGTTTAATCATGTTAACTTTTATTTTCCCCCGAAACTACTGAACAATTATTTGAATTTCCAGATTTAAACTCATTACAATAGTACCCGCGGTGTCGAGCCACCTAGACTAGTGGCCACATTGCAACATGATCGATAGCATTCGATCTGCACTAATAATAAGGACTAGACACGCATGACATTGGTCACCCAGTGATCAATCAATTGTGATCATTAAATGAGTAGGTATATGAACTAATATGCATTTATCATATTTTATTTTAGTATTTCTAGTGATAATGTTATTTTGTTTTGGAAATTATAATAAGTCAACCTAGACATTTCACTCAAATGGTCGATACTGTAAATAGAATAAAGATAGAATAAGGCAATTAATAAAAACTCTTCATGTATTAGCACCCAAAACTTTGCAACTGATATAGATCAAAAGACGTTTATAGCTTGCAGTGTGTACTTTATTTCTATTAGGACATAACTAACGAAAATATAAATCACTCCAAAAAAACGATTACTTTCTATTAATTACAAAAGACGTAAAATAATTGTTTGAAAATCTTGAAATTACTTCAAAATATTATTTTCAACGAGATACGAAATGAATCTCTTAAATATTAAACGGATTGTTATAAACTTTGGTTTCAAATTTACAAAATTGCTTATTATTTTTATTATTTAACGCCGATAACTGAGTATCATTACTTTTAAATAAAGCAATCATGTTTGTTTACTGTTTACATTTCGCACATAATTAAGCCTTAAAATGTTATACACATATGTATGGTCTTAACACATTCCTTGAAAAGATATTCCTTCGTGTAGGTATTGAATTTTAAATTTTACATATTATGGAAAGTCATAAACTTTTGAATGATTGTTCAAAAGGTGATTACCAGAAATGATAGTAATTTTTACTTCTGCGAATAACAAAATTCTACTGACTAAAGTGGTGCTATTCTTCCTCAGTAAAACCTATTTTCAAATTACAGCAAACGTATTTTAATGTGATTGTTGTTTGTGTCTTATAATATAATAAAACGTTCACATGAGTACTGAAAATCAAGACTAAAAGATTGTGTATTATTCATATAGAAAAGTAAGTACAAATGTATATTTTAATTAATAAGGTTCCAGTTTTTATTGGAATTCTCCAAAATAACACTGTAAATTTGACTCATACTTTTATATAAAACCCATTATGGACAATCACGACGTATGTCCTTCTCATACACAGCATTATGAAAACTCTCCATATTAAAATAAGTAGTATGACCTTTGTTTACACACGATATTGATTTATTACAAGTATATTTATTCATTAAAATAAATTGGTTTATTACAGGACTTTCAGGATTACCAACCGGTATGATAAATTTATTTATTTAATTGTTAGTAGTAATAATAATAGTAGTAGTGTTTAAATTACTTCACTTTACTGAATAGCACTATATTGTTATGTAACACCTTTTAATTATTGTCTTAACCGATAACTTGTATTCCTATGCATATTGTATCTTAGCTTGTAAACAACTTTATTCTTTTTATTCAAATTGTGTAAATTTCAACTTATTTCTATCTTTATGGTGACTGTTTTAGCTAGTAAAATCATAATGCATACATAATAATGAAGTTGTCATCAAATGAGTATCCCAATTTATTTTTCTGGACAAGGATTGCACCACAGTTATGAAGAATGATTACATATATGTAATAATGGATGCATGCATGTATTTGTGTGAGGTTTTCATGTTTTTTATGCATGTATATAGACATCTTTACCAAAAATTTTATGCACAGTTTATTCAAGTTATTTTTTATTATCCTAGTACTAATGTACTAGTTATTCACTTGACTTTATATAAAAGCACAAGAAAACGTGTGATCGGTCGATGTTATTTAAACAAAGCGCGAAGTACTGACGACTTACGTACAATTTAGTCAGTAAACTTATTGAGTAAAAAAGCAGAAAATCTGATTTTCATGCATCTTATGAATTTTGAATATTTCAGTGATTCTATGAAATATATCGTCTAATCAAAATGAACTATTTACTTTACATTTAAAATTAAATTAGTTCATCAAAACATCACAAAACTGGTTTACATATTATTATTATTATTACTAATTGAAGTTTTCCACTTATAGATTCTCATTGTAATTCAGGAATTCCTTGGTTGTTTATTTCATGTCAGTTGAATTCTCGTTCATATATGTCCGTATCGAGTATTACGTATGAATAACTATTATCTTTTAGGTTTCCAAAGTTTATAATTGTCGTATTCACAAAACACTGACTGACAAGTAAATTAATACTGTGAAAAATGCTGATCAATATAATGATCATTTGGAAGCGGCAGATAGAAAATTTAAAAAATAGTCATACAATCTAAAATATCGTGAAATTAGCGTAGTATTTGCTGAAAATTTCTCATTAATGATTGTCCTTAATCAGTTCATGCCTCGCAATCAAAATTACGGCTGACAGAATTTCCACAAATGATTATCATATGTAGCAATAATAATGGTTTATTTGTAATATCCCATTGAGTAGGAAATACAATTCCTGCCATTTTGTGACTCAATGTAGACCGCTTCTTCAGAGAATAAATAGATAAACAAATTAGGTCAAAACAAATGTAAATAGTACCAAGGAACAAAACACGGATATTTATAACAGTCAAATCGCAAGTGCAATTTAGTCATTATCACTCCACCTCGGTCAAGGTGAATTTGTAATATTTGCTGATATATTTGTGTGTGTTAATGGGTGTGAAAAATGTGGGTAAAAGTGGAGTTAAATTTGTAGTTATCATAATATTGTGAAACATTTACGAAATTAGGTATGGTAGCTTGAATAAATTTTTCTAGATGAATATTTAGTAAGACTCTTTCTATCAAGAGTAGAAGGATTTAGCAATAAATGGAAAGCTTCAGCTACTCCCATATTTTTGGAGTTTAAAGGCCTTTTTGGATTATTTTGGTACTCTTAGTATCAGTTCATTCTTTGAAGAGATGGCTTACATCAAGTCACGAAATGTCTGGAGTTTCATTATTTCACCCATTTTACTTTGTACTCTTGCATGAATATGTCGATTTATTAGTTGGTTTAGCTTTATAGATTAAATGCATGTTAGATTATTTTACTTATGTATTTATTTCCATAAAATTGTTTAGTATCTTACGGTTTATTTGATAATTATTTACAGACAATTTAGCCTTTTAACGTCTGTGATTTTTTTGAAACATTGTATATATATATATATATATATATATATATATATATATACAAATGAGTAGAATTTACCATTATTCGCATCAATAAATCCTTATTATAACTTATTAACCAAGCACAGCTTTGAGGTTTAATTTGTGTGCGAATGTCGGTGTGCGGATAAGTTCCACACTAATTGGTTGCCGAATTTGAAACCAATGGAACAGGATTTTGATCTCGAAATTGAATAGGTGAACATCAAATGTTATAACTACAATTCCATACTTCCAGGTTGTACAATGAAAGTGAAGTAAACCATGTATTTCATAGTTTTCTGTTTCTTAAGTTTGTTAAAATGATGCATTTTAAAATACACTGGATAATAATGATTAATTTATAAAGAAGAGTATGATTTGAAATTCAATAAAAAATAATTTTTCTCAGTGTTTCTCTCTTTGAATATTGTTCTGCTGAATTGTTGATACTTTAAATTGTACATTATGACTTATAATAGTGCAACATTTATGAAAATATTGTTGTTTATTTATCAAAAAATCATACTTGAAACACAATACATTAAAAATGTAGAATAAAATTATCAGATGTCTAAAAACCATTTAAAACTTGAAAGTATTGTGTACTTTGAGCTGAATGGCTTAGTTGTGAATTTTTCATTGTCCTAAAGGTAATATCATCAGTATGTATTTTATTGGGAAGTAAGTTATTAGACTTTTTTCCTAATTGACTAAAATCTTTTTTTATTGACCTGGAATTTGATTTGTCATTGTCCATAACTGTAGGGTTGTCATGTACATGTTTGTTTTGACTGGTCCCTGACCTCGCTGGCTGAAGGCATAAAAAATAATACACTTACAACATCCTTATTTTAAGCTACAAATTTTCTTCACTAATTAAACGAAAAAATCTATCATATAGAGTTGAAACTAACGTATTAAATTGGTTTTCTTCAATGACAGTAAAAACTTTTTTGACTTATGACCACAAAGCATAAGACGTTAATTAAAATGTGAAAGGATGACACCATGAAAAGTAAGTCCATATCAAGTTTTGGTTTACTAATCCGTTTATTATTGCATAGTATTGAAAATCAAAGAGTGGCAGTTTATAAATAAAACTAACTTGATGCCCAAAGAATGAAAAGAGGTTATACAAACATTTTCTGAGTACAAGGTTTTGGTTTACCTAAATGAATTCTGACAGCTTTCACTGTATGTAGATGACATTTAAAAACATTAAGTAGGTAGATCGAATTCAATACACAACTCTAAATACTCGTTCATATCAATTTAACTAACTTTACGAAAATATTTAATTTACTGAAGTTTTGCTTATTTGTTACTAAAATCATTGTATAAAGTTAAATTACCAAATAACTGGGAAATATCATTTCTTCAAACATTTTATATAATTGATTATGTGAATATTATACTTAGGTCATTGCCAAATCAGTGTAATATTTAATCTGAGTAAATTTTTACAACCTATTACAAATTCCATTCGATATTAATAGAACCTTTTGTTATCTGGAAAATATTTGGTCAATAATTGACGTTTTTTCTGTATTTAAGTTCAATCCACTGAATTACCATTTTTATGATTGCGATCGTATGTTTATTGATGACTTATCAAATAATTCTTATTCAAAAAACAACCATATATAAGTTGTAAAATCTTATAAATCTACCTATTCTCTCTATATACAGTTAATTTTGAGGTAAATGTTATATTTCTAACTGCTAAGTACTAACCACTTCTTCAAAGCACATTCATTGCGAAACCAGTTATATTGAATAATATAATGACAAGAAAATCGCGGGAAAATATCGGTCAGCAAAAAGCAAACAACCTTACATATACTGACTTAACAATGACTTTGTTCTTGTTATCTGTTTTTTTAACTTGTGCCGTTTTCTTTTCTTAGATACGAACTAAGACTAGACTAAAACACAAGTATAACTCTGTAAAGACTTAAGCTTTATGTAACATTATTTCCAACCGCAAAGTCCTTCTGTTTATGTACTTATGATGATTTACGTGGGTATAAAATTGTAAATATTATATTTAAACAACTGGCTATTTATATTAATAATATGTCATGTTTATTGGAAACCTACGCGTATCTTATTATTTTCAACAGAGGCAAGTAATGTAAGTGCAGATTTTAATACAATCTTAGAAACTGCAACGCCACCAGCTACACCAATTAAAGAAGAATATGATGATGATGATGATGACGAAAATACAGTTATTATGCCTGGTGTAACTATCAATTTATTACCGTCGTGTAATGATATAAATGAGAAATCTAATTTAGACATGAATACAAGTCAACCTCAACAACAACGAACTACTTCTGACAATCCAACTGATGATGTGATTTGTATGGCGAAGAAAGTAAGTTATAATTAATACGTAATCAGAAAATCACTCTTCATATACTTATGGTATAATTTAATAATATATTTATTATCATTATGGGGTTATGGAGATTGTTGGATTTTATTAAGGTGACAAACCGATCAAATTTATACAACCATTAAAATCGTGGAAAAGTAGTGCTAACGTCGCGTCTTATTACAGAGCTTCCCAGTGGTGCGATTCCATGACCGTGAAACTAGGAGTTAAGTTCGGTACTTTGGATTTTGCAGGAAAACGCTTATCATCTAAACCACTATGTCGGAATCCTGCGATATTAGTGTCCAGCTTGAATCATTCCACGATATTCAGTAATCATCTCCCAATGTCTTCGTTAGGTAACTCCCTCACACTCAACGTGATTGAACTCTACTGGTCAGTATTTTTCACTAGTATCCTAGAAATTTCTTTTCACTAGTGAGCACATTATAATTGTCAGCTTCGTTGTCCAACCTAGGTTGGTTCTTTATCTCAATGTAATATATTTGTTCATAACTTTGTTTCCGTATAACTATTAATTATAGAAAATATGAATGATCTGTATAATTTTTCTTCTAGCACCTACTGAATTGTAGATGATTAATAATTTTGTGTTTTAAATTCTAAAGATTATTATTATGACGGTACAATTGATTTGACAAAGTCTATTGCTATATTGAATAATAACTGAACTGGTAGTTTCGCTCAAATAATCTATCCTCCTACTAACATCTTAATTGCTATTTTAGAGGATATAAGCAGTAGCCAACTGACTGAATATTAAATGTTAGTCAGCTGGGACTTTCATTCTAGCAGAATTAAGTTTATATGAAATATTGAAATTATGAAGACATAATATACGATAAAGAAAGAAAATGAACATACAACCATTAACCCATCATTACAGTCCATCAAACTAAGTATACCATCAATGACAAAAGTAACTAATCGAACATTAATATAATATGATTTGTAAGTTTGGTAGATTTACATTTCGAATCAAATCTAAAACTTTTAATGACATGCTTGAAATTGTTTTTAAGACAACTCTCTCTAAGTGAGAATTTATTCATTCGATCCTATTTTCGTTTTAGCATGATAATGAGCAAATGACATTCACTGAAAAGCAAACTGATGTACAAAGTGGGAATAAAGTAACTATTGCTGATGGTGATGATCTCGGTGAATTGAAGAAACATGGTGAACAAAACAGTAAATCATCCGAATTATTATGTGGGAGTAGTTTGCCTCACCGAAATGTTATTTGTAAAAAGATTATTACCCCGAAATCAGTTATCTCAATAAGTAAGCATATACCACAACGACATCAACATAATGACCAACATTCGTTAAATAACTCATTCATTCCCCTTAAACCAAAACCAGAAGATGAGAAAAATGAGAATAAACAAAGCGCTACATCAATTGATCCATGTACAGTAACACAAGATGAACAATCAATCATCACGGTAAATAAAGTAAACTGACTTTATTTTTATTTTCTGCACATCTGTTTATATAATAACTCTCAAAAATAAGTGAAGCAAATATTTCATTAATTTTCATTTATTTAAAAAACCTTTAAAAAAATTGTAATCAGAACCCACAACATACAGAATATGCATTCTATTTGAGCCTAACGTACATTGATTTTTAAATGATGGAATTATCATTACTTCATTAGAAAAAGGGAAATCAGTAAATTTAACAAATAGTCACTGGTAAAAACATGAGTACCAATGTGACACGTTCTCCACATAGCCCAAAATTTACGTTTAAAATGTTTTTATAGTAAAACAAAATGGAGATTTTAGCACTCTTCGGTTTTTTTTTAATTGATCACGTAAGAATTTCATTAGAAAACACATGGTTTTACTGTCTTCTACTTGAAATATTCATCAAGTCACAAAGAATCTCTAACTTATTTTTAAAAAGTTTTCTAATTAATCACATTGGATTTTTCTTAACGAGACAGCATGGAGTGAAATAATAATTAGATTTGATTTTTTTTCAAGAGTTAACAAAAATGACTTTCCTTGCTCGACATTCATTCTGATACAGAAATACCATAATTTTACATAACCATTAGTCTTTCAGGTTACATCACCTCGCATTAAAAACCAATTGTATTACACTATAATGTCATTGATAAATAGTTTGAGTGACTTGTCAAATATCAAATAATTTCAAAGAGAATCTTACTGATCGTGATAAATTTGAAATGGATGCTCCATATTACAAAAATAGAGATACTTAATATACACATCGTTTTAATTAAGCATTTGAACTGAGCTTGTATATACAAGCCAAATTATAAAACTTTTACATTTAACTTGAAAAATTAACAATTACTTCTAGTGGATACCGAGTTTACAAAATGTGTTCATTAATGTCAGGTCTCTATTATCTATTCATCATAACAAATTATCCTCTAAAGTTAAATTTCAGACAGTATGTATTATATTCTTGTTTGGAATAAAGTACAAGCATATGCCTACATAAAAAATACATAAGTGATTCGTCGTTTAAAATGTTTTTTTCTATTCCAGTAATTTTAAATAATAATCCAGACACTTCAGTTTTATAATTTGAATACATACTTTATCTATCACTTATATATATATATATATATATATATATATATATAATAAAAATAGTTAAGACAGTCGTCCATAAAATATATTCATAGTTTAAACACTGAGAGGAACTTCGGTATCATAAACCTTACAATCATTCAATTATTGTAGATTCAGTATAAGTTTGACTGAAATTATGTTTTTCCCCAAGGTTTTACTGATGGTTAATCCTGTCTAGGAGATACAAGATATTTTCCCTGAATATATTATTATCAAACCAATTATTTAAAAATGTAAAACGTAATGATGATTATATTGCATCCAGTTTTTCAAATAACCTATAATAATGAAAAACTTAATTGATAAATTTATATCAATGAAAAAAGTCGTTATTTTCAAGGCGGTTTTAACAATAGTCTTTAATATGAACAAGAAAATAGATGGCATAATTTGGTTTATTTTATAGAATTCAATATAATGTTACGTAAATGATTAAAGCAAAATTTTTTAAAAAGTTTTCATACAGTTTTTATTTGTACACTATAATTGTGTTAAATCATTCTTCTTAAATATGACTTTATGTAATACAAGTGGAAAAGAATAAAATATATCGCTTGTAAATGTCAGTATATGCATTCTATAGTTTGCATGATGGAGTGACTGTAGCTAGACAATGGTTTAAGAACTGAGGACTAAGAAGCATTAGTCAACATAATTCAAAACCGTATCGGAGAAGGTTAAAAGCAAACGACATTGATTGATTCCGTTTTCTTTGGTAATAAGTCAAAATTGAAGATACAGTTTAATCTATGTATTATTTTTAGTGATACATATGTCCATATATATATATAAATATATATATATATATATATATATATATATATATATATATATATATATAATCTAAAACGTGTGTATTCTATCTAATACTAGTTTTCCAACAATTCAGTTTTCATGGTAAGCGTGTAAACATATATATATATATATATCTATATACATATTAGCGTACTTTGTGTGCCCGTTTATTCTTCATACAACAAATGTGGAGCATTCCACCAATTATTTTTTTCTCACGCTTTCATCCTTATTTATTTTACTTAATTATTTATTTTGATATTTATAATTCTGATAGTTGCATGCAATCAAAAGGCTTTCATTTTAATTAGTTTTTGCTTCATTGAATTCTAATATCACCATTGGTAGACGTAAAATACTCTGAGAAAAATTTTCTCTAGCTTGTTTTTTTAGAGTGTTTGAGTTTGTATGTGATAATGATGATGATGATGATGATGATGATGATGATGATGATGATGATGATGATGATGACAATAATAATAATTTAAGATAATGTTTAACTTCTGTTTCCATTCTACCTTCAACATACCATGTATTGATGGTGCAAAGTACACGATTTAGACATATGCTTTTCCCTATATGTAGCTTATCTATCCAATTATGAGCACATTACATCAAGCTTTCCATGTTACTTATTTAGCTATACACAAACATATGTAAATATATATATATATATATATATATATATATATATATTTGTATATACATTGATCACTTAATATTGTTTAATTGCACAACTGGTTTTTATAAGTTGTGTTGCTTTTAAGTTTTATTTTATAAAATAATGCTAGGTTTCTTTAGTTCATTGTTTCATAAACACAGAATTATACTTTTGAAGAACAAAAACCGTGCCACTATAAATGTGAAATAAACTGATTTGATTTGTTGCTTAACGATATATATATATATATATATATATATATCAAGCCCACACAGGTTATTCTAGCTTTCTGACTAACCGATTTATTCATTCTTTCCAAAACACACTTTGACCTTGTTAATTACTCACTTATTAACATTCACTGTTTTGATATGAGCGTACGTGTGTTAGGTGCTTACCCAATTCATCACGTGTCTGTAACTTATTTTTCTCTGACCATAAATATCGAGTCACGCTTAATCAAATCGAGTAGTCTCCCTCGCCTTCTCTGCTCCGCTTCGCTTTCCCGCTTCTTATTCTTAATGCCTGTCGAAATAAACGAATTCTTGGGATAAATTACTCCAGTGCAACCAATATTTGGCTTCTTATGCCGCCGTCACTCAAATGGGGTCAGCCTAGGATATATATATATATATATATATATATATATATATACTTTCCGTCCTAGAATTACTGTTAAGATAAATTTGTTTATAAGATTTCTTCATTTTTACTTTGACAATATTACCATTTTAAAGAATGAGAATTCTTGTTCAAGTTAAGTTGAATATTTAACAAACCTTTCACATTCACATCCTTATTAATACAATACAAGAACCAAATTTATAACTGGAAGTTAATTCGATTGTACGTAATGACTAAAATTTATAATATAAACTACAATGTATAAATATCTTATTGTCATAGATTCTTCCCAGTTAAATTAATTACTCTTTTTTTAATTTATGGACAAAAATGTACATCTTATACACAATGTACAATCATTAACAGTAATCTAATTTTATGTTCATTTCTCTAAAGTAATTGTTACATATTGTTAGATATTTGATTTAGGTTCTTCAGTGATCAATTAATATTTGATAACTAACCCAATATTTACAAAACTAACTAAATCCTATATGTATATATTTCAGTAGTTATTAAACTTAGTTGTAATAATAAATGCATCGCATCTATCAAACATTATATACCAGAAGAAAAATATTTTAATTACTTTATTCAGTGTTTGTCCTGGGATCATTATAAAGTCACTTCATTCACTGATGATTCCATTTCGAACAAAATGTCTTGATGTGTAAAAGTTGATAATTTAATTCAACTCAAAATTGGTGTCATGAATAGATGAATGTTGCAGCACCATTGAGAACCTGGATGCACTGGACGGCCGTTTCGTCTTAGTATGAATTTAGACATGAACACCGTTGGATGCAAGCTCATTGTTCTAAATGTTAAGCATTCGCATACAAGATTGAAGGTCCTGGGTTCGAGTCCCGCGTGCGGGATCGTGAATACGCACTGCTAAGAAGTCACATACTAGAACGAAACAGGTATCTAGTGCCTCCAGGTTTTCCATGTGGGTTTAACATTCATCCGTTCATGATATCAATTGAAACTCAATAATCTCAACAACCTTCATTTTAGTAAAATATTATTTAAAGAAAGAAAATTGCATATAATCACATATACCAGTGTACATTTTATTTAAATGTAAAATATAATGACAATTGAATTATTTTTGAAAAAATATTAGTTAGTAAAATATAAGGAAGTTTATCATTGTTTCGACTGAAATACATTGAATGGTATATCACACTTTTATTTACATATTATAGCCCGGTTTTAATTATTCAAGTAGTTCTAACTATTGTATATTGAATGCACGGTAAATGTTGTACTTAGATAGAGAGGTAATCTATTGCTTTTTACAAACTATGCTTATATTTATAAATAAAATTTCACCAAAATAGTTACTTTCTGATTCAAACTGCGATTATCAATATAAAAAGTGAAACCTCAGAATGTTAGCAATCTATATGCTATATAAAACATTTATAAATTATAATTAACATTACTGATACATCTTAGTTAAACAATCGTTGAAGACCAGCAAAGACTGAATGGATGCGCCCTCTCAAATAAACTATTCAGCAATGTGGATTCACTACCTCACTGGAAATCGAACCTAGAACCTTCCAATCTCATGGTAAGCGCCTACATTTAATATCACCGAGCCGCTATTCAGTGATTTACATGTTTGATTTCAGTCAGTTTACAATATTTTCAACCATTTACTTCAGTTTGTTCATAGATGTTCACTACTGAGCAGTCTTCTATTCCAAATAAACAGATGTCCTGTGCTCGACGGTAGTACAGCTGAGACCAGTCTGTGGTGTTAACTATTGAGCCCAACGATCTTCACATACCCTCCACAAAATATTTTAGGATTCAGCTGATTGGTTCGTGTCAAAATAGTCTTCGTCAAAAGCTTAAACCAACAGGAAGGCCACTAAAAATTGAAGAGCAGTAGATAACTGTTTTGTCTTCATTCAAAACTTATTAACAAAGTACACTAATTATTCTTCATGGTCTTAAACTCAAAAAATTCAGCTCTTGTGGTAATTGTTTCACTCATGATGTAATTGAAGCTTATCAGTCACAAAGTTTTACTAAAGTTCCTACAGATTCATTTTGACGCTGGTTACTTCTAAGCGCATGTTTATGATTTGATTGCGTTGTCTTCTATACATGAATTCGTTCTCTTTTTAATACTCTTTAGAACGTTTTAGTTTTTTTATTCTCTGTTTACACCAGTTTTATTTGAATTACCCGTAGTATTTAATATACAGTAGTTTAGTTTTAACACAAAATATAACATATGATTTAGTAAGTAATTAATTCCTTTCTCTTGTTCATAATATCTGAAAAGGTGAGTTTTAATAAAAATTCAGTGAGTGGTTATGATTATGCAATTGAAATTATGAGCTAATAATGATTAACTTGTTTCATGTGTAATCAATAACATTTATTATAGTTTTACAAATTATTGAATTGTAGTCTCATACAAAAAAAACCGTTCTTCCTTTTTTAACTAATGTTTTCTAACTTTCTCATTCTAATTCCATCTTTCATTTAACATTAATTACGGAAAACTACATATACCTTTAATAAAGCCTCTTCTAACGGATAGTGAATTGACTGCAGTCCCAGAATCTACTCCTGAATCAATTAAAATGCAAACATGTGAAGAACAACTAAGGAGTAAGTGAAATTAATTTTCTCTAGAATGAATTAATAAGCTTAATGATTGTACTATTCTATTAGAAATGGTGTATGTATATATGCTTAGTTGGTTGCGATGATTGGTTTTTGTTAAGGGGACTAACATTTGTGTATGATTATTCTAGATTATATGCATATATTTAATTAACTTGTAATAATTCCTTTTTATTAATTCAATATTTACTCATTTAGTTCTGTCTTGTTAGTTTAGTATTATTACTAATTTCTTTCATTGAATTAAATTTTGTAGAAATGTTTCTATGAACTTATAAAGCTGAATTATTCAACAGCATTGTGTAAAGGTTACTTTCATTATACTTGAAATTTGATAAACTTGTGTCGTCTATACTAAGCCATAAAAATGCAGCTCTAATGTAGATTTTATCGTTTTATTAAGTATATTATGTATATGCTGCTCGTAATATCAAAGTATTAGTATAGCAAGGGTAAATTGGATATTCAAATATCATTGTACGCCTTATTAAGACAATTTGTAATTGGGTGATTAGTCCATACTTATTTAGTTCAATTACAAGGCCTAAAAATCTGACTTCAGAGTAATTACAGTCACGATTATTTGTTAAGTACGACCCATTACCTTATTTAATAGATTCGTTCAACTCCATATGTTTTGCTTCTGTGCTTAGCACCTCGGATGTCTGTATCAAAACTTTTAATGTAAGTAATAAATAGATTTTCTTTTGTAGAACACTTCACACGGAAAATTGGAAAGTGTTATGATGAATAAATTAACTTCGTAAAGTGTGTAAATTATTGTGGTGAATTCACTGATCATTTACTTGCTGAAGACAGATATATCTTCCTGTTGACTGGATATGTAGATATGCATTAAATAATTAAAAGTATTATTTGTATGTGAAATATCCAACCATAATAGTGTTACAATGAGTTACTAGTTTGTTACAAAAATTAAACAGTTGCTGAATTAAAATCGAGTACACAAAAGATACAATGGTTATACATATATGTCAGTCACTACACAATGTTTTCATCATTCGATAATTTAGGGAGAGTTTTTATATGTTTCATCACATTTTTACTTAACCTAAACAAAGTAAGCAATTATTTACTTTTCAAATTGCATATTATGACAGATCAATATGTTCAATAAATACTCTGTTTATAAATGAATATTTAATATGATCACATTTTTTTCTTCATCAAAACTATTATTATTAATAGGAGGATCTACTGACTGTAAATCACCTAAGAAAGTAACACTAAAATTATCAAAACGTAGTTCAGCATTTGTCTTTCAAGATGAAAAGTAAGATTTTATTTTATATTTTAATAAATCACCCTCTATGATTAATGAATAGTTTATATACAGATTTATTCATGAAATCATGCTTTTTTTCTGTAAACTAATTGAACCAGACAGTTTTTAAAATATAATACATAGTCATTATTTGAATTACGTAATTAAAAAATGATTATGAATAAACTACTACATACATTTTAAAATACAATTAGATAGCTTGACTTCTTTTCTAATTTACATTCTAACAAACGAAATATTTGCATTAAATTTAAAATCTGAATTACGAAATAAAAACATTTTTTTCTGATTATTTTAAAAGGTGCCATTTTTACATAATAACTTTAGCATTATAATTGTCATTTGATATTATTTATTTCACTTAACGTAATCTACATAAAGAATTGCTTATACATTTATTTGGCATTGTAGAAGTGTTAGTCTTATTAAATATACACATACATTTATGTGGACAGATATCTTTTGTATAATTATTGCTTTTGTTGTTGTTGTTGTTGGGTAATATCTGTATTTATATTTTCGTGTTTTCTTTCATGCTTGATTAGGTTTATTTTATTTATTCTTTCTTTAATTTATATATAATGTTACACTTTAAAAAAGTTCTTTTTCTCCTGACAATTCATTAGTATCAGAGTGGGTTTTGTGGAGATTTTAGTAATTTCAATAGTTGAAATCATGAGTCAATTGAAGCTCGACCACGAAGTTGCGCCACCGTCACCATTGTCTTCAGTGAACTGATATCTTACAACAGACCTGGTTGAAATTATTAAAATCTCCACAAAACCTCTTCTGATAATAATCATCTGCTCACTAATGACTGACTTCAAGATGCATTTCCTGGAGCTCTAGTGAGAAGCCATGATCAGTGGAGTTCAACCAGGTCTGTTGTAAGATATCAGCTCACTGAAGACAATGGTGACGATGGATTGGTTGAAGTTAGACATTAGCACCGTTGGATGCCGGCTGGCTCAGTGGTCTAATGGTTAAGCTCTCTCGCGCAAGACTGATGGATCCTGGGTTCGAATCTCGCGGGGGGCTGGATCGTAGATGCGCACTGCTGAGGAGTCCCATACTAGGGTGAAACGGCCGTCCAGTGCTTCTAGGTTTTCCATGGTGGTCGAGCTTCGATCGACTCATGATTTCAACTATTGAAATTACTAAAATCTCCGCAAAACCCCTTCTGATAATTCACTAGTCTCACTTATTTTTAATACTATTATTATTATCCAATCATATTTTACCAGATTGTTTCTGACCTAAAAGGGTCTTCATTTGGCCACATCGGATGTTACACGACAATCTTTTACTATTTATTATTACTTCCTTGGATTAAAAAATTTGTCACAAAATTTTTTTGGTGAAAAAAATGTAACTTCATCTTGTTTTATGTAGACATAAGTAGTATATGACGCGAGTTAGGAACGTAATGTCTGGCAGCAAAAGATGGAGGAAGATCAAGAAAGAAAGAGCGAGAACACAATGCAATTTGTATGAAAACGCATGAACAATGAAATCTGAGACAATGGATTGATGTTTGCAACAGGAACAGTCAAGTTTGATATGATGGATTGATATTTTGCAAATTAACGATTTAATATATGGTTCTCAGATTTTATTAAGATGCTCTGTAATTTTGTGCCTGAGTACATTCGATTTTCCCCCACCTGTATTCTCCTTCACTACAAATTCATCGACTTTGCATCTGTATTTGAGAATAGGTTAACAAATGATCTGTAAACTTTTAAACTAGATATTTTCTTACGAATGTTTTCTGTTACTATTCAATTAAAAATCAAATAACTAGGAATTCTTTTATTTTGAAATATATGTATGGTCAAACGGTTTTCTTTGTGGTTATCAGTATAAATTTCAAAATAATGATGCATATCAGTACTGTAAATTCAAAATTTTTTTAGAATAGGTCTATACTATATTAGTAAGAAAATAGGCTTATCAACTCGAAGTACATTTTAAACTTACATGAATAAAACCATCTGTTTTTTTAGAATAAAATCAGTTCTGTAATAAAGTATATGCAAACTTTTGTAACTTGGGAATTAATATTAACATTCTATTTCGACAACTAGTATAACTCTTAATACTAGAAAAGATTATATAAAGCCAATTTCATAACATCTCACAGTATTTCTTTGACGTATAAAATAATAAGATTTTATTTCTACATGCAACTTGGCTTTGTGACATGAATTCCTTTAAGAAGTTTGTAACTGTGATTGAAAAAAAAACTGAAGTATTGGTGCCCAGGACTCGTTTTTCGTTCAATTTAGACACGGTTGCAGGCACAACCAAATGAAGATTCCCAAATAAGGAGGAACTATTGTTTTGCGTTCGATTGTAAGCCGTTATCCAACTTTCACAAAAACGTGTAACTAAATGATGATATTGAGGATGGATATACAGTGACTGATCGATTTTCAGTTCTCAATATCAACAACGAAAAAATATAATGCCATGAAAATGCAGTAAAACATTGTATTACATTATTCGGTAATATTATCTCCTTGAACTCTCTACGAACCATTTTAATAGTTTCCTGATTGGATGGCTGAAACTTAAGTCACATATATTGTTCATTTGAAATAACTTGAAAATATTTTTGATTTCTAATGATAAATGAAATATCAAAATAGTGTATTTACATATATAAATTGCCTTGTTATGAAATTATTAATATTAATTCTTTTTAGAAAACCCAAGCCAATCAGAACTGATTCATCTAGTCATATTCAACTAGCACAACCTTTAGACTCACTATCCGACTCAGTACATCAGATACACAAAAGTAAACGTACAAATTTTCAACAAAGTAAACCAACTATGCCAGTAATTTCTAATTCATCACATCCGTTAGAATGTAGAGATGATTTGTTATCCCAGAATAATGTTTCTACTAAAAATTCATCTAGTATTAATTCACTGACTGTAGATCGTTCACGATCTATTACTGAAGGTTATAATTTATTTGAAGGAATAAAACCAGATAAAAAATCAGAAAGTACAAAGAAGCATAGTTATATACCATCTTCTTCTTATGCTACTGTTACTACTTCTCTACATACAACAAATACAAATGTTCAGTCTCATATTTCTAGTACAAATACAGTACCTAGTTTAACAGCCGCTGCAATAACTATGGCATTGACCACTGAAAGATGTCCATGGTGTCAGTGTATTCTAGATCATTATGATGAAAATACTATTGGTTTAGGTATTCTATGTTTATCTACATTTGTGCATCGTGAACCTGGTTTAGCAGCTCCATATTTACGCGATATGTTGCTAATTACAGCACGTCTAGCCAATGCATATTTTTATTCTTGGCAACCTGAACTGTAAGTTATGTGCTAACATTTTCTCATCTAAAAACTTTATTTGTAATATTAATTTATGAGAAAACGCAACCAAAAAGTATGAATTATTTCTTTCTGAAATCTCCTGTACTTCATTGACTATGTTTAAATTCAAACACTGGTTTTTATCAAAATTTTCATCTGACAGCCATATTTGTATTAAATTCAATTATTTTATTTACATTATCAGTCTTGTACAGAACTTATATGGAATTTTCGACAACTTTCCTTTAATGAGGAATTTCACCGTCCAGTCAAAATAATGTTATCATTGAATCAATAACAAAAATTGGAATATAATTAAATTTCTCTAAGTCAATCCTTTTAAGCTATTCACTTATTCATCTCAGTTTACGAAATGAAAGTTAATGGAGTCATTTTTTGTATATTTTATCTTGTGCTCTAAATAATCTAAAAACTGAACTTGTATCCTGTTCTGGTTAACATTCATCATCAAAGTATATTGACAATTTCGAAGTAATCGTTACGCTATTCAGAATTTAAGCCCCTACTACTATATATTATCAATACAGATTAGTTACCTTATAGACAAAGAAATTTTAACAAAGCTTAAATCGATTCTTTTTATCATCCATAATAATTGTTTGCGTTTTATATGTCAGTATCATCTTTGTTGTTTTTTACCGTTATGTGATAGATATTCCTGTATACAGAAAAATTAGACATTGTACTACTGTTTTTCCTAGAATCTGTAAATCTACACTGCTGTATAATTATGGTTAGAAAGATCACATTCTCTATTGAAAGTCGAACTATGGGATTTACAGAGATTAATATTGAGCACTTTGAACACAGCTGTTTACCGTTACGAATGTTGAAATAATGTTACCATTCCCTTTGTTAACAGCTTTCTCATAATGATATTTTTTCTTTGGAAATCAAATGTAACTAAACAACTTTAGGTTAATTTGCAGTGGTTTAGATTTTTCCGTTGATGATATTTTAATTAAAATTTGACCAGCCTTTGTTGGCCTATGGCCATATCAAAGCAATTCTTACAGAATGCACATTATCCTATCAAAGCTGGTCAAATTTCAGTAAAAACATCAACAACGGGGTAATTCAAACCATTACAGATTAACCTGTTTCAGTTTGGGTACCTGGGCAGTATCCCAGCCCTCACATAAATCGAATGATTTATGTGGCGCATATCTATTTGGTGCCTCCTTGTACGAATGTTTGCATTTACAAAAATGAGTGGCTGTCCTCACTCAGTAGCTAAGTGGATAACGCGTAAGCATTTCAAGCGAAAGATACTGGGTTTCAATCCGAGAAAGAAAATCAACTCTGTGATCCAGGTGCGTCCAGCTGACTAGTCCCACATAGAAAAAAATGTGCGTTTTGGATCCCACTGCTAGCTACATTCTACCGATTACGTGTAAATAATATTTCTTCCAAGAAAGGACTGCTCGGTGATTATTTTACTTAATGGTAGATACTACTGTAACTTATTATTCTTTCGAAATGATGGTTGTGTAACTGAAAACAATTTCTATCATTCACCTTAAAGCTTATCTTATATGTAATATCTTTGACTTCGTGCATTTCATAAGAAAAAACACTTTACCTGTTGTATGGTAGGGACCTTTACAAATTTAATAAATAAAATATTAATTAGATAATGCTTTTTTTCTGTGTCCCTTTAGTCCACATGTGATTAGTCCAGGAAATGTGGCAAGCATTGCTCATCAGTTTCTTCGTTGCACAATGTATAATTTAGCCCCGAACGGCCTGTTTACTCAACTATTTCAAACTCATATTACAGGCAAGTAATTAAGTCACAATAATTTTACCAGATTATGATAAATGATCTCACATAAACTATAAATTATCATATAGATGTTTGTGATAATATTTTGTTACTACGATCAAAAAGCCATTTATTTTACTTTTTGACAATATCGAAAAGCGGAAATCGCCATATTTTAAATTATATTTTCTGAATGTATAATCCGAATTATATCCAACATAGAATTAGTTTTTTCTATGCCACTAGCACCTATGTAATATATTGCTTGTTAATCATACAGGATTTACACTTAAGGTTACCGCCGTCTATAACCACCATCAGTGTTTGAGTTTCATTTCAGTTACATTATACATTTCATAACATTAACTACCCATACTAAGCCATGTACATCACCTCGTAGGCCTTGCACTACAATTAATACTGTGAGACTATGATCATTCTTACCACTGAACTAAAAGCCATTGAAACTTGTGTATGAAAATTCAAATCCAGGAATTTATTTGAGTCCAGAGAGGAAGTTATTGAATTTTTTCGTGAATACATACATCAGCTGAAAGGTTTAATGTACATAAAGATCAGGAATTAGCCTAACTATTTTTACGGCAACCAACTAACATAATTGTATCAATTTACCTATATCCTGAACATAAGATGAATCCTGTGATACGAAGTTTGTTTTATTTCAATTGTTCTAATAAAACATTATACTGGTGGTTATAGAAATTATAAGTTACTTGTTTAAAATTGCATTTGACATTCCATATTCAGATGGCTTATAAAATTTTAAACAATCAGCAAGAGTATAACTTTAGTTGACCGTATTCATTAGCTATTATTATGATACACTGTTTGTCTGTAAGTAACAATAATACATTGAAATGATTGTTGTTTTTAGATTCTTTTCTGCCGGTTGAAGAATCATCAAAATAATGATAATTGAACAGACCGTACGACTTGATTTCAAACCTTTTATCAGCGGGGGTCCATGATTCATTCTGTTGTACAAACAACAAACTTCAACTGTTATAATTGATATTTAACTGCTGGTCCACTAATAATACAATATAGAAGCCATATTCTTATATCAGATTTTGATTTACACATTGTATATGAGGACTCAAGGGACTACTTGCCATTCTGCACAAAAGTCAGCTACATGTGATCCCAACATAAAGTAAACAACGTGGATTTTGAGGAGATTATTGAATTTTTAGTGACAAGTCTTGACCAATGAATTTTAATCATGCGATAATTATCTACTGTAGGCAATGGAAAATGGTATCACAGCATCACGAATGGTTCCAAGTCAGATATGCATAACATTGGATGGTGGCTCAGTAATCCAGATGTAAAACAATTCCCCGCGAGAGTAGAGGTCCAGTGTTCAATCATCAATGGTAGGATCATGAAGGAGGATCCCTTCATATTATCTACTCAAAGCTTTCTAGTTGTCAATGGTTGTTTAAGTATGATCAACACATGGTGTAATCTGTAAAATAAAATGGCTGTATAACAAGTGTTTAAAATATAGAACCAATACCTACTATTCCTGCTTGAAGTTGACGGTGATGCTAACTGATTTATTGTTAGAATAAAGTTCAGTTGTTATCACCAATGTAACCTATGAAAATTTAAAGGATGTAAATTCTCGATACTCTAAAGCTATGACAAAACACTGGTTCCGGTACGAATACTATTCTTCATTTATCATCAATTATAATTTAAGTACATGAATCATTTTTATGACCTTTCCTTTTCTTCTTTTGTTGTTTTATACCGTTTCATTTGAACAGATGATAATTTCTTTAGAACAATCATTTCTGTGCTAGTTGATTTTGAAGATCATATGTCCATTTTTCAACCGATCAGTTTACTAATGGAATCATTAAACAAACAAAAATCAATTAGTCTTGATACTCTACCTATCCTATTAGAAAACCTTGCTAATTATCTAGAACATTTACCAAATTTAACAGATGACAGTAAATTAAACCACTTTATAGCCTCTGGATGGACTGATATAATTGGGCCGTTGGATTTATTTTTAAGAAAGTTAACCACTGTCACACCGATACCAATTAATTTAGCTACAACTGTACGTATTATGACCTATGTATTACGCTCACCTGTCGCATCGAATTTCAAGGTAATCTCAGTGTATGAGTAATATGACAATTTTTCATGTATTGTTTGATCTATATACTCTATCTTTTTTAATAAAGTTTGATTATACTCTTCCTACACTGTCTAGAAAGTTGACAGAAAGTTTTTCAAAGAAACTTTTTCCAACTAAAACTATCAGTGCTAAATGAATATTTACAATAAGATTATGTTAAGTGAACATTTGTAACTTCAATCATTTTTCACTACGACGGTTGTGGAACCTTTTGGTACCACTCACAAACTAATGTAATCATTTCACTTCATGTATACAGACCGAAAGATACAACAATAAAAGAGAATAAATGGAAACTAACCTAAAAAATAAATTGTACCAACAGCAATAAACACTACATTGGACAAAGTAAATGCCTTTTTTACTTAGTCATACACAAACAAAAACTCTCAGTGGTACGACACAGTATATTATCACTGATATTAATGCCTGTAGACAAATAAGGACATGACTTTGACTACTAAAACGTTGAAGTTCTGTATTGAGGAAATCTTAAGTGAACCAGTCAATTCCTGAAAGTATACCATTCAGGAATTAACGGACACATCAAACTAGACCCAATCTACCATCCGTTTGAATAAAGCTAATTAACAGTCTTCTCAGATGTTAACTAAATAGGATGTTCAACCTGAATCCAAGGACAAATAAGGGCCAAGACGTTTATGATTACAACCACTCATAAAGAAGGCCACCAGTACAAGTTAATTTAATGCTTGTAGAACGAATAAAAAGCTAATTTTACATGAAGTGAGCGCTTATGATTTTCCTCGAAACAACAATAGAAACTTCTTAATTCGACTAACTAGATAAGAAAACTCGACAACACCAAAATATTGCTATATTGACTTCATTGGATAACCATTTATGAAGAAAACAAAATTTCGACAGGAATTTTAGAGAATTAAGTATCACTTTTATTTGGAAAGCTATAGTCTGTGATTTACTACGAATTCAATATTGTCATTATAAGTTAGTAAGCTGCTATCCAGTCACTAAAACTTCTGAAATTATTATAAAGTTATAATTTTGGTGTTCAAATTAGGTGTTATTTTATTAAAGAAATATTACTGCTTTTCATGCAACATTTAAATATCACTGATAAGCTGTTTCTCTATATATAATCCTAATCATACCCAGTTTAGTGAGTAGAATCCGTGAATCTAATTTTATTTCGTGGATATTTTTCATAATTTATATTTCAATCTGTGTATTGTATTTGATTTATTTACTTCTACTTTTTTCTTTATAAATTACCTAGACGCTTCCGGATACTTTTTCAAATCTACTTCGTATTATTGTCGAGAATGTACATTTTCGCTTGACTAGTGTCATTGAATTATGCTCTTTAAGTAATCGAGTTCTAAAAGTAAGTTATTGATATCTTTTAACACTCTATAGTAATTTAACTTATAGCAAATGCTAATTAAATATTCCCATTTTGATATAGATTTAATACTCTTTTCTTAATAGAATAACACAAATCTATTAAGGAAATAGTCTTACAAATTAATAATCCATTTGTATATAAAATAGCTTGAAATAACTTGTAAGTAGATTCCCACGTAAACAGATCAGTTATTTGGGTCAAAAATCAAACTGCAAGTCATAAAGTGTTGTATTTTCATGTAACCAACTGTATCAATATGTTAATAACTAGCTCATTACAGTAGATAACACGGGTGAACAATATATAACGCCTGTCCCTGCATCCAAAGTTTGCTGTATATCAGCTTTGAGTAATTACAAACTCAAATATTCAATCTAACACTTTAAATTCTATATGTTTTACAATTTCCTGTTATTTTTGAAATTCAACTTACTGTAAATATTTTTTTCATATATTCCAGTGAGTAGAAAATTTAGATTTCTAACGTTTCGCAACTATTGTACTATTTAAATTTGTGTTAATTTAGTTCTGCTATTTATTTATTCTGAAGAAGTGGTTTACATTAAGTCACAAAACATCATAAATTCAACTTTTCTACTCATTAATATATAACAAAAAATATATTTATCCCTAACTTTCTACCCTACGCTCAGTTTATTTTAAACTATCAATCTCAACCTTGACATTGATATTTATCAACTTACTGTGTTTTATCAATTATTCAAATTTATAGTTTTGTTATTTAAATATTCAGAACAAAAGAAACGAATTTTTAATTCGACAATGAACTTTCTATTTACGTTAGATGTGTACTGATGTTGTCCATCAAGAAGTGTATAGCTATAGTAATAAAAATAATATGACTTAAATTCTACCTACATGTTTCACCGAATATTCTCAGCAGGTATGACACATAGATTCATTAGAACTTTTTATTCTTTAAGGTTACTTTGTACATCTTTTTGGCGTAATATAGCATTACTGATATGAACAGGCTCTCATTATTATTTTCGACAATGAAATTTATGCCATGAGAGACATAAGTGATTAGTTTATAAATCTTAAACAATATATAAGTTCCTATAGGATATTCCAGAAACAAGTGTTCAGGAAAACTGCCATTTTCGATAACCTCTTCATCAGGCTTTCCATTTATAATTCTAAAATTATTGTGTTACGATAAACAAAATATAAAATTTGAATTAATCCATTTTGTCAATTGAAAATGGTGAATTTCACAACAATTCCTACTTTAGTCGGATTTGTAGAGAATGTATAATTTTAGTAGTTTAAACTACCATTAGAAACCTGGGCGGCCGTTTCGTTCTAATATGGAACTCCTGGACAGTAGGCACCCACGACAACGCACCCGGGAGTCAAATCCAGGACCTTGGATCTCGCGCTGAAGAGTCACATACTAGAACAAAACGGCCATCCGAGGGTTTCTGATTCTCAGTATTTGCCTAAGGTCAGTTTGTGACTCAAAATGTGAAAATTCCTATTTTGTATTAACGTTTTTCCCACGTAAGATTCTAACTTATTGATTAGGATTCATTACCTTAAGATCTATATTTTTCTTTTCTTAACATTATCAATGAATTTATTTTGTTTTATTAGTAATTTGTATTGTTTAAGACTCAATCGAAGTGATTTTTCAATTACAGAAACATTAGGAAAGACATATTCATTGGTTTCCTGGCTAAACTGTCATAAAATAGATTGTCAACAGTTTTGGATTGCTTCAAATGGCATTATAGGTAGACACGAATCCCTTCAGTATTTATTTGTTAATAAATGGTTTCTTTTAAATTGTTATATTAACAGTTCAATTATTTGTGACTTCGAAGTAACTATATTTATATTATTATAGCTTTATTGTCCAAAATAATGACCAAACTTTTAAACAGTTATCGTATGAAAGATAAAATAGAAGAATTCAATTATATTTGAATAAGCAGATTTTATGGCTTCCAGTCATACTCTCCAATATGAAAATGAGTAACTTTTACCTGTAAAATAAACTGAAATCTCATAGTTAATCATGTTTACTCATTATTCATTCTTTTATATTTCTCCTTTTTTTCCTCTTCAATAAATAGGATCGTACCAAAGCTCAATTAAGTAGAACAATGGTTGATTTATTTTATCAATCAATTAAATTTCGTGCTTGTATACCTGATGAAAACTTGATAAAATTACTACAAGTAAATATATAAATAAAGATTTTAATAAAATGCAGAATAACAATAAATCTTGAATGTTATTTTTTATTTGGTATAATTAAACGATGACTTAATTATCAGAAAGGATTAAATGGAGATTTTAGTAATTTCAATAGTTGAAATCATGAGTCGATCGAAGCTCGACCACCATGGAAAACCTAGAAGCACTGGACGGCCGTTTCACCCTAGTATGGGACTCCTCAGTAGTGCGCATCTACGATCCAGCCCCTCGCGAGATTCGAACCCAGGATCCATCAGTCTTGCGCGAGAGAGCTTAACCATTAGACCACTGAGCCAGCCGGCATCCAACGGTGCTAATGTCTAACTTCAACCAATCCATCGTCACCATTGTCTTCAGTGAGCTGATATCTTACAACAGACCTGGTTGAACTCCACTGATCATGGCTTCTCACTAGAGCTCCAGGAAATGCATCTTGAAGTCAGTCATTAGTGAGCAGATGATTATTATCAAAAGGGGGAATAGTGGATACACACTGCCAAGGAGTCCCATACTAGGGCGAAACGGTCGTCCAGTGCTTCCAGGTTTTCCAGAGTGGTCGAGCTTCAATTGACTCGTGATTTCGATTATTGATATGACCTAATTGACACTAACTTAATATTTTATTTCTATTGTTATTCGATTATTTATTCAAGAATAATATAGATTTTTTTTACCTTTTCCCCTTAACTTTATGTAATTTAAAACTTACTGGTTTACAATTAAATAATAATTGGTCGTAGATAAGGAGCTTTTTTTTTAATATATCACTGAACAGATGAATGAAATATTTCATTAACTTTATTTGATTTACAACGATTTGATTTTTAAAAAAATCTCCAGTGTTTACATCATTTACTCATGTCAATTAGAGAACTAATAAAAATATTAAAAACTAAACGTGTGTTTAGTTTGAGTTTTGAAACTTTTGTAGAGTGTACACATCGAAACCTATAGGTCGTAAACGAACCATCTTAACATTCAACCAATATTCCAGTATCTAACATAGTGCTTCGTGAATTGAAAAAATAATCTAAACTATAATCTTAATGAAACCTTAAGTTACCAAGATGGGTTTTTTAAGTAAATATAGCTGTAAGAAAATAAAGACTTTATTTTTTAACGAACAATATTTCTCTATCACGCAACAATCTCCTAGGGACGAAACAATTCCAACTAAAACTTAACAAATTCAATGTTTCATTCAGATTTACTGCACCTAGGTTCGAAGTTTGGTTTAGATTGATTCCTAGAGTGTCTAATCATATATCAAGTACCATTTGGTTAAATCTCATACTCACTACACAAGTGTATGTCTATCTCGACTCAGTAGCTAGGTAGATAACGCTATGAAATTTGAAGCAAGCAGTACTAGGTTTGAGTTCTGTAGTGGACACCAACTTTGTGATGCAGGTATATCCAACTAAAGAGTTAAAATGGAGTGAACATTATTTGTTCTGTATTTATTAGTTAAATTAAATATCGTGAGTGGATATACATTTTATTTAGTGATCTGTTTTTTTCCAAGTTTATTCTCATGGATGCTGGTGGCACCATAGAACCAAATCAAGTTGTTGAAGGTTTAACAACGTTATTTAATCCACAAACTTATCATTTATTTCCAACTGGTGCAGCTGAATTAATGAGACCGCATTTACCTGATTGTTTAGCTTTTATATCAGATATTCATACAGTACATAAGGTGAGTTGTTTGTTTTGATTTTCAATTCATTCATTTTTATTTCATTACATATAACACCGTTGACTAAAGTAACATCTTTAAATTTATCAATAATTTCGATATAAATCAATAACTTACACTTGCAAATTTTTGTGGTCCAGGAAATATACGGTCACAAAACTTGTTTTAAACTTTATTTGGTATGTGAGATATAAAAAGGACGTTTATTCAGAAAATTTTGGGAAATGCCCTAAAAGTGTTTTTTTGTGGGCCTTCCATGAAAAAATTATGAAAATTTATTAAAAATCTGGAAGCGCTAGATGGTTGCTTCTTTCTCCTAGCATGAGACTCCTCAGAAGTGCGCACCCATGACCCCGCTTCCGGAAGTCGAATCTAGGACCGCCGGTCTCATGGGTGAATGAAATTCACCAATCTCCACAACCCTTTAATAATAATGATTTTCGTTTTAAATTTCACCTCATATACTGAACCCATTGGACATTGTTCATTATCTATAACCGCTGCATTACAATTGAAATTCTAAGTATGATAGGTAAGCGGTATAACCGAAAGTAGTTAATATTAAAAGAAATTTTACATTGAAAAGGAATGACAAATAAATTTTGTGCAATAATTTTTTATCTTTTATTATCTAGTCTAACGAATGGACCATTTTTGAATACTAACGGGAAAGAGTGGATTATGTATTTGACCATTACAAGTTTCCACTGAACTAGATTACTTTTGTTTGTAATGCGATTAAGATTGACTAAATGAGTATCTGACATTATATAAGTTTATTTTATATAGATTATCAAGTTATAATTTCATTTGCTCTTATCGGCTTTATTTTTAATAATTCAAATGTTCAAAGAGCTTTCACATGACTAAGATTTTTGTCTTCAGATTACCTCGCAATACATTACTGATTATATGATTAGTATTTTTCTTTTGAGGTAATACACACTAAAAGGCTAGTTTCTAAAAGATAGATACATCTTTTTTCTGTATTATAGATTAAACAATCCCAAAAATCAGCAGTTCAATTGAACAGCGTCGGATATGGACTTGGTTCTTCATCTATGATGTCCGGATCTAATCCATGTGGTACTGGTAATCTTGATTCAAACACACTGACAGGCGGTGGAGGAGCAACATCTGGAAATATAGGTAGTAGTTTATTTGGTGGAGGTTTTAATTCATCAGGAGTATCAAACTCTGCAACAGGAGCTACAGGTGTTAATCCAAACGTTGGGTTAGGTACAAATATTCCAAGCTTGCATGAAGATGTTTTAGGTGCACATTTAAAATCGGGTTTATCTCAGTATGTTTCATTGGAGTTATCCAGATCTAGCAGTGGAAGTGACCACGATGTCTTCCCTTTACTTGCACCTGGACTACTGGCCGATATAAAAACGACGAGAAGCAGTAAAAATTCAGCACCTGGATTACCAGCCCGATCAAAGGCGGCCACTACTGCCTCCGGTTCGAATGTTCCTTCAGTGGGTTTAGCGGGAAAAAGTTTAAACGTAGCGTCTGAGAGTGGACATACTGCAAGTTTGGAACAATCGAATGCACAAATCAAACTTAGTAAAAATAGTGGACCAGTTGTAAGACAAAATGAGTCCCATTCAGATACATCCATTATTTCTATTACACAACCTAATCTCAATCCTTCGCCTGGTTGTAAACTTAGCGAAACTACCTATACACGTCCAACGATGACAATAACCCAAACATCCTCAACTAAAAAGCAAGAAGGTACTAACACAAAACTAATTTCTTCTGCGCTTCCCATTCCATCACCGGCAATTTCACATGATCAGATTTCCTCTACTAATGTCACTATTTCTACTACGACTACATCTGTTTCAAATTTAACTTCGCCAAATTTTATCACATCTACACCTACCACACCACAAACAATCTCTAGTCCTAATTCAGTTAATTCTCGACACCCAAACTATGCCCATGTAGTGCTCGCCTCAACATTTTCACATACGGCTCACTCAGAAGCAGTTATATTACAGTATTTACCTTGGCTAAAATCCACTCCACCTTCATCTCAATTAGGGTAAGCGAAAAAAAAATTCAGTCCATTTAAATTTTTTTCTACGTATCTATTTCGTAAACAAATCAAATGTTTTCAGACTGAATTATATTTACATTATGCTTAATCTTTTGTGTTTCTTACCGCCTTTTTATTAAATATTTAGACCGAAAGATTTTCTTATCATGGTTGAAAGAGTTCGCACATTATCATGGCTTTTGCTTGGGGCCACAATGAATATGGCATTAACACGTGAAGCTACTGGTTTATCTTGTCGTCCCATACCGTTTAATTTAGTCCCTTCAGTAGCAGATTTAGTCAAAGCGTTGTTAAGTGGCTTTCCTGATCAACAGAAAGTATGTTCATTCCTTTCTCATATTTTCAGATTGTGATGATCTATTATCATAATTATTTTCACCATCACTTTGACAGCCACCGTACTAGTCTTTTATATTTTTGAAAATAGTTTTTCTCACGGGTCGACGTAATCTCAAGAACTTTCAAAAACTATGAAACACTAGTCATATACCTCTTCCTCAGTTAAAAGTCTTTAGTAGTATGCATACTACATAGTATCGAACGTAGGATCTTCGGATCTCATAGTGATCACTTTACTCTTAGACCACTGAATCACAATCCAGCAGTAATCAGTTATATCCGTTTCTTTACGTTACTGAATTGTCGTTCATTTCACTGTCACGTAAGTCAAACTTGAATGACTGAGGAGAGTTTTATAATTATTTACAACACTAAACTGCAAACGCTTATACATGTTTCATGCTGTATTTTTAAGATTACATCTTGCTGATAAAACTATTGCGTATGATAAAAATTTATAGCACATGCACCAATCTAAATTTCCTTCATTCAACCATGTTGATTGCCTAAATTTTTGAGTTTTTTAGTTCTTCTCATGCAAATCCTGATATAAATAAGCGGATTGACAAATTCATTACAATCAATTGCAATATTGCAATTTTTCCCCAAGTATTAACAGGATTATTTGTTTCAGCTTCTGGTTACGACACTCTTCTCAATAAACAATTAGGTTTATAAGAAATAACGGTAACAAATGACTGAATATATCAGTCATTTTGATTAACAACTCGATCATAATATGCTTAAGCAGATTTTTTATACAACTACATTATTATGTTTAAAACACATTGAAGTGATTCTCCGTTTCTTTTAATTTTTCAGCAATCTGTCACCGTAATGTCATCACTGTATCATGTCTTTCTATTATGTCAAGTAAGCACGACTATATGTGTGTGCATACGTGTATTTATCTCTTAGTTTTACATTATTCTGTTTATTTTTTAAATATGAAAAGGAAGGGATACACACCATAAATATATAGATTTTCACCAATAGTAATAAATAAAATGTATTAGCGTGTGTATATTCTCCAAAGAAAGCATCGCTTATGTTGAACAGAGTTGTGTAAATAGACTAAATTTGTGAACTGGATTTTATTTCTCCTGAGAAGGGGGAACTTTACAAATTCTTCATATCCCATTGGTCAGTTAACTTTAACTGAATTACCCGGAGTATACTATCTTCAATATTTATCAATAATATTGGAATTAAAAATTATTTAGAAAATTGTTCGCATGTGTTTATAATCATTCATTTTATCTTGAATATAGAGTACAATAAAGACAAATAAAAGTTATAACGCATTTTAACCTGGATTATTTTCTGTGTATTCTGTTAAAAGTGCTTCATGAAACATCAGTTTATTGAACATAATTCAAGACATAAAAATTATTTAGGATTTTATTAAAGTACACAGTAATTAGTAATAAATTTATGAGTAGTAGACTTGAAAATCATTGCAAAACAAAATTTTTAAGTGATAAGCTCAATTACAGGATATAATTTTTACGAAATAACATTACGTTAATTAACTTAATAATAATAATGTTAAACATTATTGTTATAACTTTTGGCCTGTATGCCCTGTTAATGTATAACGTAACGATACCGCCAATTAGAAAGCAGTGAATTATCGATCGGACCAATGACACATAAAACCGTATGAACAGTTTAGAATACTTATCGGTCCCGCTTCCCGCCTAGCCCTGCCTGTTAAATCCAGAACATCAATATCAGCCTCTGCAATATAAATCATTTATTTCAAGCATACCGGGTTTATATACCAACCAGACAGACCACATCGTACCATAAAATATGAAAGAACATTTGTATAAGAATTAGCTAAATGTGGCTGTGAATGAGGGAGGTAGTATTTAATAGACAGGGCATAATTCAAGAATGGTAAATCGTATAATAATAGTTCATCGGTCAAAATAAAGCTCATAATAAGAGGGACATGAATATGAATAGTTTAGTTATTTAACAATTATACGATAAAAATATACACATAGTATTAGTCCATAAATAGATCCCAAAAGTCACCATTCATTATGCTTATCGGGGCATAACAGTTATACTTCATTTAAACCTGCAATTATTGAATTATTTTAAAAATATAAAATTCATTTAAGGTATGGACTATTTATTGTGAAACTGTTGCCAGCCTCTCACCAGTAAATTCAAATCAATATAAGGCAGCTATGGCGACGGCATTTGATTTTTGGATAAGAATTATGCCAACAATATTACGTCTCTTGTCAATTTCTGAAGATGTACGTTTACATGTGTATTACATTTAAACTCATAATTATTACTTATAAATGCAGCGATTGTATTCATTTCTTGAAAAAATCCATAAATAACTTTTTAAAAATCTGTTTGTACAATTGCCAATGAAATTGAGGACGAACGTTCTGAAGAAGAATAATCCGTAAATTCATCAGGGTTAAAAATGCTATATATACTCAAAACATTTCTCAAATAGATTAAAATTTCGTTAACCCACCAACCTGTCCAAATACAATGGGTTAGTTCTTATTTGTTAGATAACTAATTCACGTTGTTTCCGAATCGTAATTCTACTAGTATGATATTGAAAACACAAATAGAAAAGTTGCACTATACAGTTATAGAAATATTTAAAATAATTTTTTCATTAAGCAACACGCGAAGGATACAAAGATTAGTAGTATAAGTGGAAGTTGTACGATTCATACTATCAGGCTTTTTATTCGACTTACTAATCTGTGTCTAATATCAATAAGACGACAATGAGCTGTTATAATAAAAGACTGTTTAACAAATCAGTCGCAAGTTCGTTTGTCTGGCTCTTCATTAGTTAATATATAATCTTTGAAAAACTTATAACATACGGTTACTGTGTGGTCAAGCAATTGGTTTTTTAAGCCTGACATTCCTTGCATAATAACCCTTCAATTGTTTTTTCTTAAGAAAAAAATTAGAACTTGGCTAGATTTGTAATGACCCAAAGGATACCACTCAATATTTAGGCATGGTAAGAGGACATTGACAAGATGGGAAGTCAGTGTAGTACCATCAATGATGGTTTCAAAAAAAGATTAAAAATAGAGTACAATTCGAAAGAAAGATAAACAAAACCAAGCAATAAAAAATAAGAATTAATACTAAAATCCAAAGTTTAAGCGATTTTAATCAATGAATATAATTATAACAGTGCAACCGATTTCGAGTCATATCACTTCAAGTCTATAACCATCAGTCCGTAAACTGTGATGAATAAATGTTGTCCTGATAAACAATTTTTACAAATACTAATTTAGTATATATATATATATATATATATATATATATATATATATATATATATATATATATATATATATATATATATATATATAAATGTAATCTGACTTAATATTTTAATTTCTCTTCTGCATTTATAGTTTGTAATTGTGAGTGGTCGTCTGTTGACCGTTATTGAAGAGCTCATGGAATGTCAGTCATCATTAGCTTCAAAGGTATGTTTAATACCACATATATAATATATATACGATGTAATTGTATGTATGGCTGTCTCTCAATGTTCAGAATAGCTGGGAATTAATATGTTCGATAGACTATTTTAAAGCATTTCTCACTCAGTTTTTCTGTCACCTTGTCAATTGAAGCTCTTAACTAGAAAAGCCGCATGACTCCGTTATAATGCTGGTGATTCTATTATAAAAGTTACTCTTTTATGTTAGTGCTTATTACGATCACTCCTGATTCTCTCATTTTCTATTTTTATCAGTATGATTTTGGGATTGACGAGCATTTTCTTTCACGATTTGTTATGAACTGCTGAGAAAAGACTTACTATGCAACATATGAACTCAAATGTTAGAAATAGAGTCAGTGATAAACCTTTAGAGTTTGTTAAACATAAGTACATAGAAATGTTTGAAAAAAATGTCAGTGTTATTTTACCTTATGTGCCATCCACTCTAATCATAACTTTTCCCTTGTCTGTTCTTTAGGAGGACCTGGTGTGCATTGTTATTAACAAAAGGAAATTTAGAAGCCTTGAAATACACTGTACAGCCAAGATATTGTGCGACAAAAGTGTTTTAAGACTGAAACCCCCTAAAACGTTTGATGTTAAAGAAAGACAGCTGTTTACTATTATAATTACAGCTAAAATTTAGTTTAATCTCAGCTTTTCGTAACATCTGAAGCTGTATGATGAACTAATGTATTCAAACATATCTTAAACAAAATGATTTTTCTCTTCGTTTCTTCAGCATAGTAATGAAATAAGTCCTCAAAAGAATAACAATAGTATATATTATCATGAGGGCAGACAATAGAAAGTAGAAAACAACATATGTAAATACATATTGAATATAGACAAAGAAAGAATGAACAAGTAAAGTGTTGAGTCATGATGGAAGGTAAAGGAATGTACCACAATTGACTGATCACTGGGTGACCAATGTCATGCGTGTCTAGTTCTTATTATTAATGCAGATCGAATACTATCGATCATGTTGCAATGTGGCCACCAATCTAGGTGACTCGACACCGCGGGCATTATTGTAAAATTAGATGGTGGTTGGAGGTAGTCGACAGGAAACCCTGGACCCGGGTTTCGTGCTACTTGGCACTCGTCAGCAAGTTGTACCTGTAATCTTTGAGGGAACTGGTGCTCCCTGGTGGATTCGATCCCGTGCCACCCAGCTTCACAGTCAAAGACGTTACCACTGAGCTATCCGTGCCGCGACCGACCTCCTGTAGGACTGAGATGTAAAGGAATGTACACTTGTTCCGTCAATTTTATAACATACCAATTAAAGTCTCTCATGTCAGATGTTGATGATTTTATAACTTGACCTGACTAGCCTTAGGAAATTTTAGCGTAGTCATACTTCAGTCAGCATTGCATACCATAATAACAGATTACCGGACGTATGCTTTCATTTTAGATACTTTTAACTGAATATTGTAAATCAACCTTGCAAAGTTGATTGGCATTGGTTGTTGATTAATCAACTACTCTTTACCTTACACAATATTTAATAAAGTACACGAAATTTACCATTGGTTTCCGCTATATAAGAAGAAGAGAAATAACTTCAGTTCGAAACGTTTCAAATTCAGAGGAAATTTTACGTGTGGAACTTACTTATTCAGTGGCCTTGGAATATGAACTAAATTATATTTATGTTAGCTGATAACCTGGTTATCATTCTGTTTTATTCCCTACCTCCTCTATTCAAAAAACATCCGGAAAGTATATTTGAAAGTACAAAGATTTAAAAAACTAGTATCTATCGTGACTCAATAGCTTAGTGGATAATGTGCCAGCGTTTGAAGAGATGAGCATGGGTTCGAGTTTCACTGTAAGCGTTAATATTAGCATCAGGAATATTCGGTCAACGTATCATAAACAGGATGAAACGAACATCCTGCACTACGGTGATATCCACTATCCAAAAATATAATAAGTTTATGAATTTGTGCAACATAGAAGCATTCATCCAAGGTGCCTGTATTATTCAGCAGAGACCAATTAACTTCGGTTATAACTAACAACAACAGAAATTATTAAGCCCTACAAATAATAATGATTGATATTGGCTTTACCTTTCAAATTGTAATATCTATAATCCTTATAGTTAACCCATACTTAATAACCATTCTTCTTATATAGCTGTTCACATTATGGATGCCACTTTTACATGGACGACATAAACAGGTAACTGATACCATTATTATTCTTTTTAAATGATGCTGTCTTTTCAATGGTGATCTAGAAATCCTATTTAGTATTATCTTTTACTACCTACTTATTTTAACAGCTACATTCAGTTATATAATAAAGTATATAATATATCATTTTATAGCGTTTCAAATATAAAAAAACCAAAGGGGAATTACAAAAATATTACTGATGAATTTAACAGTCGAGTTCCCCGTTCGTATAAGAAAAGTATCTTAGATTGAAAACTTTTTCTTGAAACTAAAAGATATAAAAAAGGATGATTGTTATAGTGAAATTTTTAACAAATACTTTTAGCTTGTTGTTGTTTTTTAGTTGTTTTTTTCAAATAAAGGTAACTTTACCTAGAGAGTGTTAATATACATTCTTGTTAACATATGAAAGAACAAAAAATTTTTATAATTTGAAATTTACCAAGGAATATACAGTTTTCCACATGTGGAGAAATTCAAACACTTCACTTCTACTTGAAGTTTGTGTTGATGATGTCGTTCAGAAGAACGATGGCAGCTCTACGACCAGCTCAGAGAATAAAACTCCATAAAAATCATTTACCTGAGCTACAAATCTCTACCATAGTAAAAAAGTGTTTAACGAAAGCCTTACTAATATCATCCATATTTACAGTTCTCTTTTCTTATTGAGAAAATATAAAACATAAGTACTTAAAATTAAAGTATGTAATAATGTTTACAACATTACTTGAGATTGACTGTATTTATAATACAATAGATTTATAAAGTCAACTTTAAATGAACACAACTTAAATAATATCTGTCCACCTATTGGTTAGTGGTTAAAACACTTGATTTCGAAATTTTCAACCCCACATTCGAATGTTACGCCTACTTACTTTAGTTTCGACAACCAGATAGCATCATTACTTCTTAAAAAGATATATTTTATCTCAAAGTTACTTATTTACTTACTTACGCCTGTTACTCCTAATCGAGCATAGGCCGCCGACCAGCATTCTATAACCCATTCTGTCTTGGGTTCTATCCAATGTTTGTTCATTTTTCTCATGTTTGTTTCCATTTCTCGATGTAATGTGTTCTTTGGTCTTCCTCTTTTCTTTTGACCTTGGGGATTCCATGTGAGGGCTTGTCTTGTGGCGCAGTTGGGTGCTTTCCTCAATGTGTGTCCTATCCACTTCCAGTGCTTCTTCCTGATTTCTTCCTCCACTGTGATCTGGTTTGTTCTCTAACACAATAGGTTGTCGCTAATAGGTTCTGACCAACGGATCCGAAGTATTTTGCGTAGACAGCTATTAATAAACACTCGTATCTTCTGGATGATGGCTTTCGTAGTTCTCCAGGTTGCCGCCCCATACAGTAGAACTGTCTTGATATTTGTATTGAAAATTCTGACTTTGGTGTTGGTTGACAATTGTTTTGAGTTCCGGATGTTCTTCAGTTGTAAATATGCTGCTCTTGCTTTGCCGATCCGCGCCTTCACATCTGTATCAGATCCGCCGTGTTCATCAATGATGCTGCCAGCTCAAAGTTAAGTATATATGAATTCTTTACTACCATTCATACTACTACTTAGGTACTAATCTTGATAATTTCACTCGGCTATGCTGATACATTCAGGTCTTAAGTTGTTTATGGATGACTGACATGTATATCTTTTCCATGAAAAAATTGATCAATCTATAAAAAATATTAGGACCACCATCAATATACATTTTATGTTTTGGTGGTCTGTTAAGAATAAGGATTAATAAACTAACCACAGCTATATGGTATGATATTCGATATTCTATTCAAGTCCCATTTTATGTTACAATGACCGCACACTTGTAGTTGAGTGAACATCAAAAGATAGTTTTTATTCGTTTTGTTCTGCAAAAACATTTACTAATATTGAATTTATCAAGTGATCAGTGGAGATCCCTGTTAAAAACTCATATCAGCTAGAAAACCAGTAAAAATAAAGTAGGACTACATACCTGTTTTGTATTACTTTTAAGGATCTTAATAACATACACTCATGACTTCGCCTTAGGATTAACCCCAAGACTTTTAGGTGAATATAAATCACAAAATTGAGTACAAATGAGTGTATTTACTGGTGATGAGTTCTCTAATCTAATTGGTTCACTTTTAAAACTTTTATAGTCTTTAGACAGAACGTTGGCCATCACATGGATATGTCTGAATTATAATGTTTGTCTTATAATTTCGAAATAATTTATAAAATACCATGCTATATTATGAATCATTATCATATGCATTTAATTTGTTATATTTTTAGCTTCCAGGTAATATGCTTAAACGCTTACAAAAATGTGTTGAGTGGGAACCACCTGAACCATACAATCGATTGTTACTCTTGCTATCCTTACCTGATCCACTAACCAATAGTCGTTTGTCATCAGGTCCAACAACAGGTCATTGTGAAAATTTATCACTTACAGCAATCACTGGAACTGCCAATACAATCTCATCATCACATTATGAAAAACCTTTAATTCACTCGACTAGTTCATCATTGCCAGGATGGACTGAAAGCTCTTTATTAGCTTGCCAGGCTAATTCATTAATGGGTTGTAATTTAATTCCAAAATCTCTTAAAGAATGTTTAACTGAAGGCGTTAATTTAACCGGCAGTGCACAGTGCATTGGACATGCATTAGCACCGAGTGCACCATATGCTAATGACGGAACAGCTGATGGAGTTGGTTTGGAAGCTGGTGCAATGGGTGCTGATTTACTAACTAGTCGTCTAGTTGCATGGTTAAAAAAGCATATATTTGTACTAGGGCGTAATGAAGATCAACACTCTACAGCTACACATATTTTTGTCCATTAAAGAAATATATTTTAGAGACAGCTTATTGAAATACTTTATCATGTAAATTGTGATATGTATTTTATGCCAAACGATTCATTGACCTCATTTATTTATGTGTATATCTCTATTGCGTATAATATCAAAATCAGTCAATATTCACAGACAATAATCGCATTTATCGTTAATTTTTCCCTCCCGTAAGTCAACCAAAGAGTTAGCATTTAGGTAAACGGCAAATCAGAGATGGCATTTTTCGATCTCGAAAAAAAATTAAATTTCCATGTTCAAACTGAGAATGTATACTTCTTGCTATATTTAAAAATGGTTTTCTCTCAATGACAGATGTTAACTACCGACTAGTGGGTCGACCAAAGTGTCGATTGCTGTAATTAAATTACTCACCAAGGCAACCGATAGTCGAAAGCAGACATTCTTACCTCTTTTACTCCAACTATTTGCGTTATACCTGTTAGTTCATGTCCTGATGGAGGCATTTTTTTATCCAAACAACCAATGAACTATTTGATTCCCATAAAAACAATGACTGGGACAGGGTTAACCGTTGCGTAAAGTAGGAAACACGACAGCATCGCAAGGAGGGTATTCTTCAACAATTTTAAACTGGCACAAATCGCAGGTCATAGTGGCTCCTGTGCTTATCGTTCTTTATAGTGAAGTAGGTCGAAATAGTACTGGCAGACCACACATTAACCAGTGTCTCTTGAAAAAACCAGCTACCTTCAAGTGTGCTGTTCTTCAATAAATGATCGATTTGTGAGCATTCGGTATAACACTCGAGACCGAGGAAGAACTCACTCTGATAGCAGGTCTATCGAAACATACACGTCCGCACAGAAGTAACCGCTCATTCAAATATCAGATGAATTTGGACTGACCAAAAAACACTAATTGTCTGTTCAACCGTTGATGTTACAGTTAGTTGGCGACACAAAGATACTTACATATCATCCACGTACTGTGTACAAAGAAAATAAAGCTTACAGACAAGGAAACATACGTACATTCAACATGCATAAGGTATTCTCGTATACCAAGTCATAGACAAATGTTGGCTTAAACGTAATTACTTCAGTATTCCTTTTCCATCGCCCCGTGTATTAGAGCTTATTACTAGACGTGTGTATTGTAATACACCAACAATCATCCACTTTTTCTTTCTAACATTTTGATGACTTATTTACGTCGATTGCAACAATTATAGCAGATTAGTGAAGGGGATTTTTGGAAATTGTAGTATATTTATACTTCAAATCACGAACAGATCTCAGTTAGACCAACACTGAGAGCCCGAGAGCACTGGATGGCCGTTTCTTCTTAGCATGAGACTCGTCAGCTATACGCACCCACGAACCCCCACGCTGCAATCGAACGTAGGACCTTTGGCCTCGCGCGCGAACCCTTGGCCTCTAGACCATTGAGCCGGCACATAACGGTGCTGATGTTTAAATTGAACCAATCCATGATCGTGCCCAACTTCTGATTTATCGCCTGTGGCAGTTGCCGACCCAGTAGTTTGGGGATTAGACGTTCGCACGCGAGACCGAAGGTCCTTGGCTCGATTCCCGCGTGCGCAATGATGAGGAGCCTCACACTAGGACGGCAAAAACTACGGTATACGTTTTCGATACTGTTAACTAGATTTATCACAGAAAAAGTACCACAATACCCGTGTTATGCATACTTGCTTCATAATTACACGAAGAACTCACTTTTGATTGACTACACAAATTAATGTCTCTTACAAACAGTTGTAGTCCTTTGGAACCAGTCTACAGCAGGATCGCTTTTTGGGACGATATTCAGTAACAATAGGCATAGTTGGATCTAACTCTGTTTATAATTTTTGAAAACTAAAGACAATATCGAGGCAGTTCACACATGGTGCATACATGCTAAAACAGACTGGTCTACTACAGTCCTAAACATCAGCTGGAAGACTCAAAACAGCCAGTTCAAATAAACCCAACCTCATCTAATTGCACGGGCTAGCTAGGTGTCTGGATTCAGTAGCTAAATGGATAACGTGGTGGAGTTTGGAGCAAACTGCACTGGGTTCGAGTTTTGGAAGAGGGTAAAACTCTGGAATGCAGGTGCACTCAGCTTACAGGTCTGAAATAGAACGAAACGTATATCTTGAATTCCACTGCTAGCCACCATTCAAATCTGCCCACATCTATGTTCTGCTTGTACGTGCTACGAGTAATCACTATTCCATAAATGTAACATTTGAGTCATCAGTAAACGATTCGTTAGCAGAACCTATTTTCAGAAAACTCATTCGCCAAGTACAGGTTTCCATTCTGGACTTTGAGCCAAACTTTAAGTATGAGATATATTGATGCCAGCCAGAATCCCAAGCAAAGTAGACAACGCTGGAACAGAATCCGTGATCTGGTTGAAAGTCGAATGCTATTAATCACCAAGCCGTCTTGTTCGACAAAATAAGGACAAAATGTGCACAAAACGTTTGTATTTCATACAAAAAACACCATTAATAAAGAATCTGATGAGTATATGTACAAACTGTGAATAAAATCATGATCCTAGATAATCGAATAATATAAAAAAGGAAATCTCGTGAATGATTACAAAAGCACAACGCCAGACAAATTTATGAAGGTTTGGAATCTCTGATACGAGAAGAACGGAACAGTGAACATCGTTTTCTTTCATTTGTTATGATGGGTCGAGGAATATCTGGTTTATCTAAGGTATTTGGTTGCCGTTCATTTATATCACCAAATGGTTTTGTTAGAAGCATTTTGTTCTGATGATTTGTACTGGACATTTCGGAGGTAAAATTGACAGCTTTTGCTAAGGTATTTGGTTGTCGTTCATTTATATCACCAAATGGTTTTGTTAGAAGCATTTTGTTCTGATGATTTGTACTGGACATTTCGGAGGTAAAATTGACAGCTTTTGCTAAGGTATTTGGTTGTCGTTCATTTATATCACCAAATGGTTTTGTTAGAAGCATTTTGTTCTGATGATTTGTACTGGACATTTCGGAGGTAAAATTGACAGCTTTTGCTAAGGTATTTGGTTGTCGTTCCCTAATATCACCAAGTGGTTCTACTGGGAACACTTTATTTTTACCATGTGTGTTACAAATCTTGAGGGTGAAATTGACAGCCTCTGCAACAGTAAGAGTGGAAACATCGACTACTGTTTCCCTTGGAATAGGTGAAGGTGTGTCTGAATGTTGAAAGTGTATAGTCGAAAATTTTTCACCATCAAAATCAGATTCGGAATTAGAAATATTTTCACAATCAGTATATTGTTCTCCAAGCACTTGCTCAACTAAATCAAACGACACTCGACGAGTAGTAAGTACTGGGGAACATCTTGATGCATTGGAAATACGTTCCTGTTTTCGACTATTTATGTGTTTTTTCCTCCATTCTATCTCAGCATCAGAATCATACTCTTCTCTAATTTCAATTTCTTTATCATCCTCAATACCTTCTACAATTCGGTCACGAGTACAATTGGCGGGATCTTTCGGTATAGAAACTAGCTTTTGTGAGACCAATTGTTTTGTGTAACTGATTCTATCGTTCAACAATGTTTTTTGTTGACGTAATCCATCTAATTTTATCTCTAACCGTTTAATACGACGACTGAGCAACTGAACTGTTTCGTACACAGATAATTCAGCAAAATAATCATCAGTTCCACCGAGATACACTAATAGTTCATTTGTATGAATTAAACGCCCACGGACAAGCGCTTTGCGACTGAATGGAATATACGCATCTTTATATACAGACTTTTGCAACTCCTGAATTTTATTACTAACAGACTCATAATCTGATCTATATTTTTCCAAGATAATAATTTCCTGTTCAGTAGCCTCAATATCAGAAATTTGTTGAGTAAGTAACCGACTGAAATTTTCTTCACTTATCGCCATTGATGTTTTGTGCTGAAAAATGATATTTACATCAATTGTGATTGCATGACCGTCTTTTAAAGTTTAGTAAACGTGGGCTGAAATCGAAGGTAAAATGTTTTTACTAAAACAATGGTGAAATAGGAAATTATTTAGTTCATTAGAATAAAAGCACAAATCCCATATATAATATGAACATGCACCCTCCCAAAATCCCAAGAACTATATCTCATTTCTTAGAGCTACTTAAAACGCACTCACTTTGATCTTACAGTGGCTTTGATTTTAGTCGTTGAGGGAGTTATTACTTATCACCCTTATTAGTAAACCTCAGGATCCTCAGATTTCTGAGGACCAAATAACCAAGTTAAAATTTGTGTCAAGCTTTTAAAGACATTTATTCGAGGGTAAGAAACAGCATCCTGTCTTCTTAATTGGACTACTTTAGCTAATACATCATAGAAAGACCAAAAAAATTAGCTTAAAGACTGCCTAGCGACAGTTCTATCCTAATACACAAGAAATCAAATCGAAATATATGCAAAATTTTAGTAGTTTCATCTAACTCCATCGATCTGTTGGAAAATGATGTGAATCGTATGGGGATCAAATTAAGGTATTTTAAGTGGTCAAGATCCATTAACCATAAGTCAAAATCCTCCAGCTTCCTACTGATTGATTTTAGATATTTGTGTGATTGCCGGAGAACCTCAATATATCAGGACATTATTTCTTTTGACACCATGGATATATAACAGTAAAAGCTGTCCTGCTCAACTTGGGTCAGTATTATTTGTTCGCTTTCTAGCTGTGCTAACCTCATCTGATCTAAGTCACATTTCGCCACATATTACTACAGACAAATAATCATATGCAATGTGTAACCTGGCATAATTGTGCAAGGTTTACATTCTAGCACAAAAGATGAATGGATGATGATGAATGGTGTTCAAGCTACTTGGGATTGAAAACAATAGATCGCACGTTCGAACTCCTCCCAATTTACTTCAGTTCATGTTTCAAACAAGCATTAGCACCCCTCATACCAAAATTATAGTTTGGATCAAAGCGACACTGATATTATAGAACGACAAAAAGTGCCAACAATATGGGGAGAATGTTGCTTAACAAAGTACCCTTTTTGTGTACGACCAGATATCTTGCATGAGCTGTGATATACACAAAAAGGTAATTATGTATCCACAATAACCGTTGGACAACCACCAGCCAACCAAACCTTAAGAGATTTTAATTATGGATGAAGTGATTAACACACTCAACTTATCCCACCGCTGATTCTAAACAAAGAGCTACATTTACAAAAAGCAAAGATAATAGAATAAAAATATGGAAGGTGCATAGTTTTGACAAATAGTACTTGATGGAACCTATTCAGATCACAGAGTACGCTTGGAGCAAATCGTGACCTTTTGAATAACGATTAAGTATGCGGTCTCCCGTCCGCAAATTTCCTTACACTGTAGAATTTGAAAAAAATTATTATGCAGGCACCATATTCATCTATAACCCTCTCCATTGTCATATACTGACCAGTATATGACATGGTGTCGTGGTATTAAAGAAAGCTGCAAAGGGCTAGCTTCTGTTGGTCCTTCACGACTCCCTGGTTGGGGTCCGAGAGACGGTGTAACGCAGTGGCTAGAGACGTTATCAGATATGGCTAAGAATAGAAGCCAGTGGCGATCGTGCTGTAACCTCTTACTTTCTTCATAAAAAGTGTTTATATCTTCCTTAACTGAAAGATCTCTTCTGATTATACCTTTCCGTTTCCCCCACCATTGTTCTCTCTCTCTCCCCTTTTTTTTTTATAATTCCCCACGTTCATTACTTTTTTTTTTCTCTTTCCTCCTTCTCTTCAAATTATCATTGTTTTGTGTGGCGCATATATATTTGGTGCCCCTCTGTACCAATATTTATGTGTTCAAATAAATAAATAAATAAATAACATCTATAACCAGAATTTAAGATTATCTGGTTTCTCCGAGTCAAATGTTTCTGAGCTACTGCTAGATGTTGGATGACTACTAAGGCGAGAAACCTAAGGAAAATCTTGGTCAGGATGATGTTTTTGTGGTCACAAACAATACATTTTTCTACTACGAAGAAACGATCATGAAATGTGATCAGTCGGAAAGTAGGCACAACATTATAAATCTGACTAGTACCTTGATATATCCTGAGATGGTATGAATACACTGTTAACGCAGCAGAGTACTAGTTATCAAGATTTACTTACAAATAATGTGGTACGTTTAGTGAAGTAAAAATACGAACGGATAGCTTAGTACTCAAACAACGATATAATTCATTAAAACCTTTAACTTTACATTATAGCAAGAAGTTTCCAAAATTATCCCGATAAAATACAATGTTTTCAAACGTCATTGCTATGATGCTACAGTAATTGTCCAGCGAACCCAACGACTCAAAACACTGCACCACTTTATGAACCCTTTCTATGTAAAGCAAAACAGAACTTTTGGTACATCTATCAAAGGTTTCGAGCGCTGTGTTAAACAGAAAGAGACAACAGGAACAACACCCTGTAGTAAAAATATATGATGTTTAGTATGGACATGTCAAATCCATATAACAAGATACTTATTTTTGGAACACGGTGTCTGACTAAGCATCAATGTTAAATGCATTAGCTCAGTCATATTAGTTCAACTGATGCTCAGTTGTCTGAATAGTTTTAATGTCTTTATTGTGAATCACCCTAATATTCTGTTTGGTAGCCTATCCAATACTTTGATTTTCCCTACGTGTAAGAAGTTTCTTGACTTTTTTAGTTATCCATGGTGGACAGTTATTCGGTCTACGTGGTACTAGGTATGGTATAAACGAGAACGTAACTGAACTGAACTAACCTTTAAATATAGACGATGTTTCAACTGATGAGCTAGTATCTACTGACCAATCTGTTTTAAAAGTGCACTCCTGAATGGCTGATATGTTAGCTCTCCATACATTTGGGCGGGGCTTAACCGGATCGTATATCATGTCACAAGCTCTAAGCATAGATGAAAAAACAGCGTGATCGCTATTCACTAACGGTGGCAGAATATTTGACAATATCCTCAGTCGGATGAGTAATTACCAAGTATAACAAAGAAGAACCTTGGTTTGGACCAAAACGTGTGGGTTCGGATACATGTAATAATGCATGCTCCATTACCGTTATAAGGAACCTATCAAAGTTTATAGATCCTACCGTGACCATCTCAGTCCAACTAATATCAGATGCATCAAAGCCTCCTAATATCAAGCATGTTATTTGTACTTCACAGCCAATTGTGCTCTAAAATAGTCATCAAATAAGCAGATTGGGCTGCGATATGACACCGAGTATAAATGTACAACATCCGATAGCAAGTTCACAACTAATGACTTTACAAGTTCCACTAAAATAGGATTGTCAGGTAAATAGGTGTATATTTATAGTATTGGCTTTGTATAAAAGGACGTCAACCCCTTTCTTACATCTATGCCTATCACTTCCTAAGGATTGGTATCCGGATAACACTGGAGTAACGTCGAAGTATGATTAATACTCATAGTTAATAATTAGGGTTAAGAATTAGGCTTGGAGTTTTCACCACGAACTAATATCAGCTACAATGTCAAAATTATATTTAGCCGAATGAATTAGTTTCGCGCCAAAATTCATAACCAGTTAGCATCCGCTCCCGACACCTGACTCCATGTATGTGTAAATCACATTCCATTATGTTACCCACAAATATTGCAGGCGCAGTGACTTATTGACACTGGAAAGCTCGAATGCAGATTAAACCAGTAGTCTGCAACTCTAGATTTATTTCACTAAAAACCCATTATTGGTGATTTTCAAGCAATGCAGATACAAGGAGGTTCATTTGGTCCTATTATACCTGATAGTTCATCCATGCTTCACATGCCCGATATCTATATAATATATATATATATATGCAGCCTGAAGATAGTTTGCATACTGTGAGGATGCGGGGCAGCGTGATTACAAGTGGAAAAGAATAGAAAAAAAGAAAACATGAGCAAGATGCATACTAAGCATATGATGTGAACTAACATTATAGAATATAAGCAATAATTTATGAGTATAAATAACCCATGCGGGAGATTAGGGCAATCTGAAGGTCGATTGGAAAATTAAGGGTGTGGTAGCGCAAGACTTTGAACACGTTACTGACCTACAACACTAACTACCCTCCAAATGGTTCAAATGGTTGTGGACGTAATAGAAGAAGCTTTCGCTTAACGGGCTTCCGAGTCTAGTAGCAGTGGATCATCAATACCTCCAGACAGGAACCTGGGTATGTTACCGATAAAAGGGGAAAAAGAAATTGGCAAATTATAGGAAGATGCTATCCTTAAGAATATATTAAGATTCCTGTCAATGGACTCCTGGGAAGACACTTGGACTAGCTGAACCTGCAGCGAATTCCGACATTTGATTACCCTTAAGGAGCGGAAGGTCTGTATTGTGTCTCCACTTTCTGAGTGTTACCCCTTAGGTTTGTATTGAAGCTAAACTGAAGTACGTGTTTAAAGGGGTGTCCACAAGTGGTAATGATATTGTAAGCCATTAGAAGGTCGCCTCTAAGGCGCCTATGCTCTAATGGATGACTGCAGTCGCTCTTTATAAGGCTTGAATTTGAGGCCCCGAACTGATTTCGTGGCACACCGTCTGATACGTTCCAGAGTGTCCTTATCCTTTTGGAGTGAGGGAGGAAATACTGTTTCCGCACTCTAAATGGTTACGAACAAAACTGTGGAAGATTGTGTGGAAAGTTCTTTCGTCAGACTGGTCAAAAATGCGCTTCAATGTTACCAGTGCAAGGCTTGCTCGAAAGGCATTTTTGTCACAGTTAGCGAATGACTTTAAATTGTAGAGTACCAGCACCCATACATTTTTTCAACTTAGGATACCTCTAGGGAAGAGCTTACCAAGTTGTAACTGTGGTCTGCAACATGTCGCAGGTGGACTACTTTACACTTTGAAGTGTTAAAGGTAAATCCGTTGTCATATGCCCAACTTTGATGTCGAGTCAGATCCTCCTGAAGTGCCAATACATCCTCTTAGTTGCGTATCTCTGTCCGAAGTTTCACATCATCAGAAAAAAGTAATAATTCAGACGATACCTGTCGTGGAAGATCGTTTATATAAATCAAGAAAACAATAGGTCCTAGTACTGAACCCTGCAGGACCCCACTACGACATTTCAGAGGTTAAGAGAAGATAAAGTTAACACTGACCTTAAAATATCAATTTCTTAGATATGAAGTGAGCCGATAAATTAAAAATCATTTAATACCTGATCGTTTGAGCTTATCTATAAGACATATATGTTTTACCCGTTCATAAGCATTTGAGAAGCCAAGGTCAATGAAGTCAACCTTCCCCTTGCGATCAAGGATGGTTGTACATCCGTCCATCGCGATCAATAGGTTGGTTACACAAGAGTGGCCCTTCCTGAAAACGCGCTGTTGGGGTGAAAATTAGGTTAAGGATAGTAAACAGTCGCATATCAAAACTCCATAATTTTTGAAGGTATACAGAGAAGGGCCACCGGTCAGTAGCTTGAAATCCTTTGAAAATTGGTGTGATGTGAGCCAGCTTCTGAATTTCAGGTAGTTTACCTCGGCTTAGCAATTGTGAGAACGTTACACTGAGTGATATTGCCAGGATTGAAACCGCTTCTCTCAATATAGCAGAATGAACTATATCCGGATTAGGGGCAGTGTCTTTTAGTTACTACAGTTCCCGGCACAAGAGGTCAGCGCTCAGGTTCTTTCCGGAAAGTCTTGTGCAGTTGCAGACGAAGCTTCTATCAATATAGTCGATGTGGGTTGGTTGAAGTGTCCGGGAGTATTCCTCAGCCAGAAGGTTAGCGGCGTCGCCGTCGTTATCGATCGGGCCGTTAGGACCTAGCAGTTGAGAAACTCCAGTTTTGGCTTGACGAAGAGAGGCTGGATAACGGAATAAGGTTTTCGGATAGCAAGCAAATTCATCGATAAGTTTTATCTGGAATTGAAGTCTGTCTTCTCTTATTGCCTTTGTGTATATTTTCCTTATATGCTTCTATTGCCTGTACGGGCCGTTGTTATTAGTTTGTTTGTATTCCGCACAAGAGTGCCTTTTACGGCTTGACAAACAAAGAGTGAGGTTCGTGATGACTAGGTTGCTTGTAAATTTTAGGAACCACTTGAGGAACAAACTGCCTTGTAGCACACAAGATCATACTCATTAAGGAATCCCAATGAGCATTCATATGAAGTTGAGAGTGAACTTCCCAATCCGTTGTCCTGAAAACCTTATATATTCAACCGTTTGAACTTCCGGCGCCTGTTGCTAGTGGGATGTCTTAGCTCAGTCTTGCTGATAAAACAAAAGGCTATGACGGCATGATCGCTCTTCCCCAAGGGGGACAGGATTGTAAATACCCAGTCTAAGAGCGACGCCATATGACTTTCTCCAACTAGTTGCCGACTTTACATTTTCGAATAATACGTGATCCTCAATGAGGTTGAAGAACCGAGCTTTAGTTGAGTTTTATCCTCCAATATACGTATGTTCCGCGAAATTGACTTCAGGAAGATTGAAGCCCTCTAGATTCAGGATATGAGTGAATCCGAGACGAGTAGAGCGTGATAGTCCTTCCAGAATAGGACTGTTGTACTCGGTGTCAGCTGTGCGCATCCTGTAGTTGACTCCAACTAGACATCTCGGGGTGGTACAAATCTTACTGAGCACCATAAGGATTCATCAAGATTGATAAACTCTTGGTTGTGCATTTGATGTACCTCCAGGCAGGATCGTAAGTATAAGACTACTCCACCTCCGATTTCTGTTTTTGTCATTGCAAAACAAAGACATCCCAGGGATTGCTAGCTCCTGCTCCGTAAACTGAGATGTCCAAGTTTCAGATATTCCAATCAGATAGACATTACTGACATTGCTGAATTCACGTAGCTCATTCATTTTATTCGGTAAACTCGCGGCGTTCACGTATAAGCAGTTTATGCTTTCAATTTGAAACAAGTGAGCTTCCACGTCCTGATTGTCTGTATGAGCCATATGTGAATGGACAGGTAGCCTACAAATACAAGGATTTCCTAGTTGGTAGCCCCTATTTTTTCCACGTGTTTTTGTGATCAAGACAGTGGAGTGGTCAGCTTCAACTTGCCTTTGTGCTTGATCCTGGCATCATGTGGCCTATCCAGATTCATATGGATCCCAGGTGCCAACTGGCGTCTGTGGGCACGAAATGCTTTCAGAGTTGCAGTCTCCATATGGGAGGATAGGAGATTTATCTTCATCAACCAGTGTCTAGAATCTCCGTCCTTCTTGGCTAGTCTCGCCACTTGTTGAGTGAATTTGTTTTGAGCTTCAAGGACTGCCTGATGAATTTCTATCCACGAATATCAAAGTTAGTGTGGTTTTCTGTACACATTGCACAATTATATTTCTTACGCGGAAAAACTCACGAGATTCTTTAGGGATGTTCTAGGTGAGACTGCGCTCACAATACTGTATATCAGGCAGTATTCATACGTTTCCATCCGATTTCCATGACTAGCCAGTAGGATATCCCCTACGTTGGTAGCGTTAGTGTTACACGAAATAATCTTGGGTGATTGTAATGCTTGGAGTCCTTTCCTCTATTTTAAAAAGTGCGGGCTACTTGTTTAACTGTTGCTAGAGCATCCTAACAGGTTTGTCCTGCAAAATAAGGGGCAGGTCAAGGCTGTCTTGAGGGTTCATGATTGTGAGAGAGTCATCACGAACCATAACTGTTTTTCCAGGTTGTCAAACACATTCACGTCGACGACCCCGTTGTTAGGAGGTCAAAGCCTGCTTCCGATTCCTTTGCCCTTGGCTGACCGGTTGGACATTTTTGGAGGTAAACTGTGCGGCCAAATCACCAATTAATTTCACTCCAATACATAAGGTTGTAGTGGCCTATTTTTGTCAACAGAAAGCGATTGGTCTATAAAAACAATCATTATTATAACCAATTGTACCAGTGATTGTTTTGCCGTGCTCGTTTGTTTAATTGTACTAAAGACAGCCATTAATCTTCCGTGGACTGTGACCTGGTACACTCGTTCTTCTGCCCACTAATTAAGCTTGTATTCATCTTGGCACGATCTCGGTATTCACTCGATACTACGAAATCGCCAACACACAAATCTGGTTCGGATCCATTCTTCGCCTTCTGATTTGTCTGGTACGCGCTCTTCTTGTAGTGGTGTTCATAGTTAACTGCGACTCGACACCACACTAAAAGATGTTCCGCGTCTTAGATTGTGATGTTTGGTCCTCTCTAACTTTATTAACGGGGATCCGATCGCCTACAGAGTTTTCGGAAACCACCAATGAACTCAGGGATCCTATTCTGAGAAACCGAAGTATGCTGAGGGAGTCTAGTAACGTAGATGTTATGATGATACTGAGTTTCAGTATGTCGCCACCAGTGTTATTACATGTTCCATTGACAGTAGGGTTCTTGAGATTCCTCTTCCTATTTTCACTGAGCGTCTTTGTTTGTATAATCCTTTTAAGACTGCCTTTTTTCAAGTTTATTAACAAATTATTCCACATACCTGTCAAGAGATTGATGATATTGCTCAGCTTAACATCAACATACCCATCTGTAACGACCGAATTGTCAGTATTCGGTGAAGGAAGGACTGACAAACCAAAATATATTCGAATAGGCCTGACTACGTCCTCCTGTATAGCCTACGCAGCGTTTTCGAGATACTCGTATTAAAC